GTAAAAATAATTTTATCAAGTATATTTATATATAGGTATAATATAATAAATATTCACATGTATGATAAAAAATGAAAAATAAATTACGTTAGAGCTTATTAAATTCTTATTATTAAGAATAAAATATGATCTGTGGTACTTAAATGCATTTTTGTAAAGAACACTTTTATTATTCGTACTGGGAATACTTTTTAAAATAAAAATAAATAGTTAAAAGTTATTTACAATACATTTTGGAATACTCAAAAATTATTCCAATATATTAATAATATTATATTTAAATTATTTTTTATTTTTTATTTTTTTGCTCAAAATAAAATTATTTTTATAAACTAGTTTTCATATTTGAAAGTCACAGGTATATTGCTTTATTATTATGTTTATTTTGCATATACACTTTATTCACGAAAAACAATTATGTCTTGTGACATTTAATCACTATTACTTTTTCAAAATTTACATCAGTAATTTTCTCTCGTTTCTTATTCACAACTGCACTTCCTATACTAAATATACGTTTTATTGGAACACTAATGAGTAAAGGCGTATTGTATTTTAAAAAAAAAAAATTTTTATAGGAGCAGTATTACCCAAGAAAGTTTAATTTTTTGTTGGGACCTTAAAAAAATTATTCAAAATTTAATTTTCTACAGAAATAACTATACTTATTTGATTTGTTTATTCAATTAGAAAAAAAATTGTTTGATATATCATCAGATTGATTTTTATTAAAATTTAATTTAGGTGTACACATTGGCAGAAAACTTCGAAAATTCTTTAACTGTTTTTAAATTGATTAATAGCTAGTTTTCTATTGCCATTTTTTTATCAGTATAAATATGACAGTATACAATAATGGTGCTTGACATTTAGCCGCCTCGTGCCAATGTATATAAATTATACCCCAATACAATTAATATTTTAATATTAATATTAATGAATATTTATTCATACAAAATAAAAATAAAAAAAATAAAAAGAGAACGATTTAACATCAATTAGATAAATATTCAAGTCTCGTGAAACTTATACCTAATTATTTTAACCATAGTGGAAAATAATTTAAGTAATAACATTATACGGGTGTATGAGTTTGACTGATGACTAACGTCACCGACTATATGTCAAATTTTGTTGCCCTAGGGCAAGGGTCGGTAACCTGTGACTCTTTAGCATGCAATCTGTGGCTCTTTTGGAAATGCATTAATATCGTAAATATAAATTAAAATTCGATCATAATATTTTTTATGGTTTACAGTATAATTTATTATATACGTATACATTTTATACAATATACACTAGAATACATTTTGAAAAAAAAAATTAAATAAAACTTTATATTATATTATATTATATCATATTTAAAATAAAATATAAAAATAATTATCTGCTCAACAAAAATTTTAATTTAAATCTAGAAATTTATCTATTTATATATATATATTTAATTTTTGACTAATAAATAATTTTTTTTTACACGTCGTCTCGATACTATTCCAGTACTTCTAATGTAAATATCACATTGAAAATTATTTAAAACTTCGATAAATTTGAAAATATTGGGTTGGTTTGAAAATAAAATTTTGAATTAAATTTGGAGTGAAATGCTTCGCAGCTATTAATTATATTTTCACCGAGGCACAACTCGTGTAACACTTTTTTTTCGTCGGGATACAACTGACGTACAGGTACGGTTCCCTATTACTGTCCAGACACAGTTTATTTTATTATTTTATCTTACTGTTTTAGTTAAGTTTAATTGTACACAATTAAATCATAACCGCTGCGACCATTGTCTCTACTGCATGTAATTTCCGCATTTAAAATCTGATTTTTAATTGTGAATTGCTCCATGATGAAGAAATTGAGTATGAATTACTTATAAGCTTAATAACAAAAAAAAAAAAAAAAAAAGAAAGAAAACATTTCAGCTGTGTGTATTCCACGTGAGACTTTGAAGGATTCTTCAAAAATTTGATTAGTGGACATTTAATTTACGACGATGAAAAGTTTCGGGAATTTCTTCGTCTAAATCGTGAACAATTAAATTTTATTTTATCCGTGGTTCAAGAAGAAATAACAAAGAAATAACAAGGAAATATTTTTTCTAAATATTATCCTTGTGATTTTTATGTGCACTATCAAAAATAACTTAGTTATTTTCCACGATTGCAATCAAAGCTTGATTCGCCCTTTGTCGAAGAAAACGAAAATGTACTTGTCATGTTGACGCCGGACGTTTTGACGCAATACTTGTCCGATCGGTACTGACGCCCCGCTTCTAACAAATAAACCCTCCGTGTCAAACGGGCTAAGAGAAACCAATCATACACAAAATATATAATCTAGGGCCACAACGTCTGAATACTGCTGGGAAACAGTACCTTAACATTTTTAATTAATAATAATATGGTCATACTAATAACAAGCTGAATGCTCGGTCTCCTGATAATTCTACGGTAGGTGATATAGTATAATATTATTATTATTATTTGTTATACACATTTTTCAATGATTAATAATTCTGTTTGAAAATTATAATACATTAGAAAACTTTCGTTTTCACTGTTAAGAAATCTCCCCCGAGGACAACTGCCGCCTTTGCAGGGTGGGACCTTAACCCGGCACTGTATGCACTATAATAACGCGACACAAGAAAAAAATAAACTCGTGCATGTTTTTTGCGGATCGAGACGATTTTATCTAACTTTTCGTCGGTAAATAGCAAATGTAATGTCCGAAGCAGCAACGTGCTTGATTTGAACTTATAGTACAGAGTAAAAACGGCGACCAACCACAGAATGTTTAGACACTGCTTGGGGGGTTTGAACGTCGCTAAATTTTAATACGCGCTGATATTGCTTATGATATTGCTGATGATTAATAGGTAATATAAGATAATAAAATGTCAGTGTTAAATCTAATCCATAAGCTATCTGGTACGGATATATATATTATATCTATATAGAGTAATAAATGGGCTAGGTTTAATATGTAAATTAAATATTCACCGGGTAGCATGTGCAGTATGGACACTAACTAGGATTATAATTTATTTATAACCACAAATAATTTTTTCTCCGAAACAAGTATTTATACTTTAAATAAAAATAATTAAAAAAATATGCTGAGAATACGTAATCGAATATATTTTTTTAATGTATCCGGAATAATATTCAAACACAAAAAGTGTAATGAAATACTTTTATTCGAATACTTAACAAGACTGCATAAATGTTTTACATTTTTCTAAACCGTGTACGCAATGTTTAAATGCACTTTGCATCGACTAATAATTAGTATATAATTATGATAGGGTTACCATATATTTCGAGCAGCCATTTGTTCCGGAAAGATTTTTCAATTATGTATGTTTGTATTTTATTAAACTTTAATTTGAAAAACCATAATATCGTTGTCATGATAAAAGTTGAACCATTGACTGACGAAATCTATTTTTAATCATTCTCCCGGCTAAGCGACTATTATTTTTGTCAAATACGTCTTTGTATTTCCGCCGCTTCGCGGTAGTTGTAGATATCGTTAACGGAATCAACCATAATTTAATATGTTGTCATTTGTAGCGTAGTGCTGTAGCGTAGAGTAGCCGTACTCTAGTCGGTGTTTATTTCAGACTTTCTATCCCGGAGGGAGGTGTCACAGGAGTAAATAATTAATAAACAAATATACTTTTGTAATAATTGCGTAGGTAAAAAAATCAATAAAAAGTTGTGTCAATAAGAAAAAATTAAAAAAAAAACTGTCCCGGTTTTCGCCAAATAAATTATGGTAACCAAACATAACCTAAATAATATTGTTTTTGAGAATTTACACGGGTAAAAAAAAATCGGTGAAACGTACGCGCAGGTGTACAGTTACCCGTGTAATCTACCGAGCCATTAATAACGCATCCGTGTAATATTATGGAACGATATCAACATTCGATAAACTCGTATTGTGTTTGCAACGCATTTCTACGTAACACAAGAACGTATCGGTACGGTTTTTAGCGATCAACATCGGAATATAATGCGGAGCTACGGGAGAACACGAAAACACGATTGTCTTGTTCCGCGGCGGTGTGCTTTGTTACGACGACGCAGCTGGAAGCGCTGGCACTAAAATATTCGTCGAAAAGTTTCACGTACGTGTCGGTCGTACACGGGCCGTTACGTCGAAAAGCATCGACGTCAGTACGCGTCGAAAAGACGGACATTCCGCGCAGCAGTACAACGCGTGGTCGTCCGGTCCGACGGCGGAAAAATCCATCCGTCTTTTCAGCTTTAGCCGGACACAATACGTTTTATTAACGGATAATACCGATGATGATGGTATGCACCGCGCGGTAATCGTCGTACGCACTACGATTTCTTATCGGCGGGCCCAGCTCACCGGGTCCGGGCGGGCACTTGCTATAAAATAATATTTACATTTTTCCCAGAACGGCCGCGAGCGCGAGAGAGATAGAGAAGACACTTGTAAACACACGAGAGACCCACATATAACGCGGCGGCAACAACTTCCTCCCGTCTCTATCCGTGTCGCGGCGGCTTGCCGACCCGAGAGAATGTGTGTCTGTGTGTGAACCGGTGTGCGGCCGTCGAAAACAACACGATATTATTGTAATACCGTAGCCGGCTCGTTGTGGCCACCGTACGGGAAACGGCGTTGGAAACAGAAATCGTTAACGAGCAGCAGCAGGTGTGTACCCCCGTCCCGTCCGTATGTGTGTTTTTTAATATTTCGATAATTTTTTTTTTTTTTTTCCCCAGTCCTTCTCATGTATTTCGGTAGTGGTATGCCGTTCTCCGCGTCCGGCGTACACTGGCGCGCGCGCGCACGCACGAGTTGGATACCAGTGTAGCGGGCGGCGGCGGATACCTGTTCACCACCACCACCCGTCTCTCCGTCTTGCCGTGCGCGTATCGTCGTCGCGCTGCTCTCGCCGCCGCCAGCCGGTTTTCCCGTGCGCGTCCTCCTGACCGCCGCCGCGGACGTCCTCGGCGGCTACGCGGTGGGGGAGAGAACGGACGACGACGGTTGTTCGGTCGTGTACGCCGCGCGCGCGCACCGCCGACCGGTCGTCCGTCCGTCCGCCAACAGTCGGGCTACGTAGTCGCAGCGTCCAGGTCCTGTACTCGTTACGCGTCTCATCGCGCGCACAAGTGATGTTCTTCTCCCGCCGTGACAGCGGCACCGCAGGATAGTGGACCGATCGAAACCGCGGACAATCCCGGTGGCGGGACCGACCGCAATGGCCGCTTCGGCCGTGACCAGGGCGCACAATCGGGCCATCGCAAAGGTAAGCGTATTTCTTACAAATCTCGGCGGTAGCGACTCGTATAGCCGTTGGGGCCGTAAAAAATTACAACACCGTGCGCCGACGACAACGGACGCGACGTAACCAGCGAAACCGCACGGCAAGGCAACACGGGAACGCGGATGATATTGTTCCTCCCAACAGCATTCGCCTCGAGTTTCGCCCTGTTTCTTTTTTTTTTTCTCTCACCAATTTTTACCCATCCGCGTGCGTATAGATCAACGTGACGAAGCAATAATATTACAACGATCGTACGAAAATTTAACCCTGAATGATGTGCAGTTACACACAGATTGTTCAGTGAACGATGTCTATGTGTTCATGGCAGCGGCGGCGGCGGCGGTTTCGTCAAAGCCTCCGTAGTTATCTTCCGGTCATTCGTCCGTCCGTCCGTCCGTCGATCTAATGATCTACGTTTTCTACATACCTGCATCTACATATTACTATTATGATATATCCACTTAAATACCGTATCAATTTTATCATTGTACTGTTTTTATTTTTTATTTACGTATCTGTGGAATTATCCGCTTAGGCGTGGATAAACAATAATTATAAGAATACGCATCAAACAATTTACATATGTATATATATATATTGGAATAACGAGATGTTGATCCCCGCGCTGGCCTTCTCGTCCACACCGGAATCCGTGTAACTGCTCGTATAACGGTCCACCTGAAATTATTGCCGCCGCTGCTTCCACTGCACGGTATACCTCTAGATTTACACTGGAAAATCTTCGCATTCCAAACTCGGTGCGGATATTAGAGCGCAAGCGTGCGTAATAGGTACCCGTGGAAATGTTTTTTTTACTAGTACGCGTTTGTCCGATAATTATTGGAATTAAATTTGTATGATTGTACACCAGCGCGGTGTGGTCCATCCACCGATACATTATGCGATGAAACGCGTGTACGGTTCGGTTTATTCGGTTAACCGTTATACATTAATGAATTATGATATTATGACCATCAACAGCGAAACGGTTATCGGAATTAGCAAAAACGATGGCGTTAATGGGCGTTGACACTATATGGTTACCAGACTCGTGCGCGATGTGTACATGACATTGTGTAATATCACACATTTGGCGGACTGAAAAAGCTAGGATTGGACTTGTGAGTCGGATGTACGAAGTACCCAATGCTTAAGTTTTTAAGTCAACAATTAATTGGCATTAATTGGCACACAAGTCAATTCCTGGCTTTTACAATAAACACATTTATACCTCGCACACGAGTCTTTCAATATTCAATCGCCCTTACAGTTTTATTTTTATCAAATAACGTTGGTGTGTGCAATGATAGCAGTGAATCTTTTTCAACGGCTAAACATAAAATACACAAAAGTTGTTGGTACTTTTATAATATAAAATAAAATCTTTATAAAATATACGTAACATGTTTTTTATATACAGTTGTTTTAACTGTTAATAAGTAAAAATTAATAAAAATGTATTACATTTAAAATAATTTTTTTGTTTTGTCATTAATTATTATTTTTAGATTATAGGTAGTTATAATAATACATTACATTTCATAAAATCTAAGTGCAAAATAAATAATACATCACCTATTTAATTTCTTGATATATATGTATAATGAAAACGATGAAAGTGAATTTTTTTCAACGGTTAAATCTAAAATACAAAAAAAGTGCATTCTGTATAAAAACTCGCTAGCCAGAAAATAGCCGTTATTACTATAAAGTTTTAATTTTTAAATTTCATCGACATAGTTTAAAACAAATCTTTACACGAACTACAATAACGAATAATCTGATATCATGATTTTCTTATAGTTTTGAAAGTCATTAGAATTACGTAATAAAAGTTAAAGCGAATTTCCTACTAACAAAAATATAAATATTAATTTATCACGAACAATAATTAATAGTTACCGTTTCGATTAGAATCGACTGTGGATTGAACAATAAACATGAATAATGATTTTTCGTTAAGAATACCATTGAAATATCTTGAGATCATCAGATTCTGAAATAATAAATATTTACGTATCATAACGGATATATATGATTAGATAATATCGTGTCCGATCAACGCAAGTAAATCACAATAGGGGGACCTACCACCTTTCTCGTGCTACACAAGTTTCTCGTGTTATAACGTGTTATTTTTTACATTTAATTATGTATTGTCGTAGGGCACCGATCCAAAGGCGGCCACATGCCGAGCAAAGTTACAAAGAGCCCGGTCTGCTCTGAATCGGCAAATGGACAGAGAGCTACGGTTACGAGAGGGCGCGGAGAATCTACTGCGGTAAGTTACATTAATCACGTAATAAGTAATGTCGCGCGCGTTTCATCGAAACATTGAGATGACAGTGTCATTTTCCAAACCACACGTGCAAATCCTTACTATCATAGGTTTTCGATTGACAACGCTTACTGAATCAAGGATGAGTAATCGAAATCATCATCGTTTACCCGCGCTACTACTTTCGAATCCGCCTACCACCGTTGGTGTTTTTCGATGTTAAACGGCAACGATCCGCAGTTTTCCCGTGTCGCGCGCACCGCGTCACGATTGCCGTGTCATACTGCAATACTGCAGTAGACGTAATTGATCAACAGTATGCGTACGTATATTATACAGGGCCACCTCCAAGGACGGCGGTGGTGATAGCAGTGGCGTGGGCGGCGTCAGGACCAAGAGCAAGAGCAGAAAACTCATCAGACAGACGGTCGCGTTGGAGTTGAGTTTCCTCGAATCCAACGTGCGGCTGCTGGCCGACGAGCTGGCCGAGCTCAACGGGTCGGTGGACGTGTACCAGTACCGCGACGAAGACGACGACGATGAGGACCGCGGCGATTTCGACAGACACTGCAGCGGCTATCCCGGCGGCGCAGACGGACCGACGACTAACCGACCGCGTCGTCGGCAACGTCAAATCCCCATGATAGCCGTGCCCCTGAAAGATACTAGGCCCATCGATTTCCGACCGCCGCTCGAGGTTAGTGTTTATAATACCACCCGTCAAGTCGTTACGATACAGAGACATTAGCGGCCAGATAAGGTCGAGCAGCACCGGCCGTGCGTTATAATTATAATAATTATTATTGCGCCCACTCGTCACGAACAGATAACTGATACAAGTCTGATACGCGCATTATTGTTTTTTTTCCAACCCGCGTGTTCGAGCTCATCAATGCGTATCGTTCTGGCGTCTAATTGAGATTGGTTTGAAAACGATTTTTTTTTCTTTTTCTTTCGTTTACGGTATGTGAACATTATTTATACATTACATACCTACTATCAGGCGCGGATACAAGGGGGAGGGGCTATGGTGGCCGAATCCCCCCTTGGACTAGGACTTCGGTACTTAAGATATTTCAAAAAATAAGAAATACTTCGTACAAAATACAAATCGATATGCGCAATGAATAAGGCTATTCACTTTTATAATTTTTTTTTTTCAATTTAGTCTTATTGTTTTTCGGGACGGGACGCGTATATGCACTTTTATGTACTTTCAGTACATTTTTTTCGTTTAGCCCCCACTTTTTTCATTTCTAGATATGTGCCTGCCTACTATATATGTATACATACTTCTATCTGCGCGTTGCTTTAGGTAAATTACTTCTTTATTCGTGTAGTGCGTGTGTTTGTCGGAGATCGACAACTGTCTACGTGCTACTGTTTCGTAAACATATACTATTGGTTATAACTAGGGCTCGGAAGTTGATGACCTAACCTAAAGAACCTTAAAAAATGACCTAAAAAAACATGAATAAATGATCTAAAAATGATGGAAAATTACTACAAAAAATGACCCAACAATTGTCAAATTATAAAATAAAATAACTTTATTAACTAAAAAATGTAAAAAAATGACTTATTTTATATTTTTAAGAAAAAAACCTTTTATTTTACATCTTGTTAAAAATTGTTATTTAAATATAGCATAATTAAAATGCAAAAAAAAATTACTTATTTTATATTTTTAAGAAAAAAACCTTTTATTTAATATCTTGTTAAAAATTGTTATTTAAATATAAACCATAAATATCCTGTAAAAATATTTAAAACAAAATATAAAATGATCCTAATTAAATAACCTAATCAAATTTATTACATTGAACAATAAGTGTATGTTTGATATTTTCTATAGTAAATGATCTGCGATTGTCCGAAAGTAAATTCTTATACTTTGAGAAACTTTTTTCTACATCTACTGATGTAATTGGTGCAAATTGAAAATGAGCAATATCGGAATTATTGAGGTCGTCTGGAAAGTTTTGGTTCGACACTTTTTCACCATTCAAAATTTTTGAAATTATCGTCATTGTTTTAAAGCCAGTATTTTTATCCAAAACAGATTTTAATTTATTTTTAATATCTTGTCCTACTCTATTTCCTGCTTGTTAAATTTTATTTTCTACATCTTGTACAATTTTTATCGAGTGGTGAAGACTAAGCCCAAATGTTTCTAACTGAGTTATAGAATCACTCAATGTTCCAAAATTAGAGTAAATGTATATCAAGTCACTTTTCAAATTACAATCGTCCATGAGATCTTGAGCTTTCTCAATCGATGTAGCGTCTTCTCTATTTAAACCAAGTATTATTTCTTTTAAAGTTTCGAAGTGTTCACAATAATAATTTGCGGCAATTAGCCACGTCCCCCCATCTAGTTAATACAGGCTGTGGCGGTAAAGAAATATTCGGTGCCTTTTCTCGAAAAAATTGAATACGGGCAGGACACTTAAAAAAAAATTTTTTTTACGTTAGATATTAATTGATCAACTTTAGGAAAATATTTACGAATTTCTTCTGCAACCCTGTGTAATCCGTGAGCTAAACAGGTGACATGTTCCATTTTAGAGTACATTATTTTTATGCCTTTACCAGCCTTTATCATATATGGCGCTGCATCGCTCAAAAACAGCAAAATATTGTCATATTTAATCCCTTGAGGCCACAAAAGATGAAGTGCTTTATCCAATAATTTAGCAATGCTGGTATAATTAGCTTTTTCCAGTGCTTCTGTGTGAAGTAAAAATATTTTTCCTGGGCATCCAGTTTCTAACGTACCGATAATTACATTCGCGATATACCGGCCTTCCATATCTGTGGTTTCGTCGATAGAAATCCACAGTTTTTGATTTTCACAATACTTTTTTATATTGTTCATTGTTTCTTCGTAACATTGGGCAACATACGATTTTCTCAATGTCGATTCGACGGGAATACTCTTTTTTGTATATTTTTCCAAAAAATTACGAAAACCATCGTTGGATAATTTATTCAACGGAATATTAGCCGATAAAAGGGCTTGACACAAATCATAATTAAATGTACATTTTCTAGATGGTTGTGTCAGTAAACTTTGATTTTTTGATTTTTCAGTTTGTAAATTTTTGCGCTCAATACCGTGTATATGCTTTTGACGTGACACGTGTTGTTCCACAGTGAACTTTTTATCTGCGGCAACCTTAACGTCACATATCTTGCAAAAAAGTATATATCCATCAGTCGAAAAAATATCACTTCCGAATTCTGACATTAACGCACGTAAACGAGCACTAGTCGAAGTTTTATTTTTAGGCATTTTTCAATACAAAAATTTTTAAAAGAGGACAACAGAAAACAACACGTTACACGAGACGTCGAGACGGTCGAATACTAAATTATATTATACAAAATATAGTGGCTACAATATGTTTCAGCTGTTATTGAAAAATAATAATTTTATTGTTTACAATAATACAGTATAAATATAAATATACGATAAACTATAAATATACCTTATTTCAAACATTGCGAGATAAATAGCTCGACCACGGCCAGTAATTTTAGTGTACCTAGTTATTTTCGTAACACTGACAACAATAAGCTATATTTAAAAGTTAAAATAAGATATTATATTTTATTTTTATGATATTTTCACATTTTATGAAAAAAAAATTTAGCATTAAAATGTACGTAAAAGAAAATTTCGCTATATTATAGAAAAATGACGTATTTGTCGAAAAAAAATGATTTAAAATGTAGGACTGTGATAAAATGATATCAATGAGAAATAATGGCAAAAAATGTAAAAAAATGCAAAATAAAAATTACAGATTATTTTAGAAGACCATCCAAATCGGATTTTTAGCTTGATAGATTAATGACTACATCAATTAAAAAAAAAATGCAAAATGCATCAACTTCCGAGCCCTAGTTATAACTTTAAACGTTTAATAATTTCCATATAGCGGTTCATCAGTCAACATTACGGCGTGGACATATCAACGGAAACGAATCATACGGACAGCGACGATGACGACGACGACGACGAGAACTACGGCAGCGGTGCACGTCGGCGTTCGCTATCGTTACGCGAAGCCGTCGACGAGTTGACGCAGCTCCGGCTGGTATGTATTTTTTACGGGGCCGTAGCAAGGGGTTGGCGAGAGGTGTCTGCGCCCGGGGCAAAATTCCGGGGGGGGGGGGGGGCGCGAAAACAAAAAAATTGCATTTCACGACAAAACGGTCAACGTTGTATATTTTGTTTACGAAAACTTCAACGTCACGCCCTTTATATCGATCGGAGCAATCGCTGAAAATAACATCTAATGTTTATAACATTTTGAAATTAAAAAAAATGCGCAGAGGCGCGTTCTGAAGTTCGCCCCGGGCGCAATGTTCGTTACGGCACCGATTATGCACGCCGGTACAGTGTCGCGTAAATACCGCACCTACTTATAGTTGGATTTTCTATTGGTCAGGACACGCAGACGCCTAGCCGTGACGCGGACGGCGTGCGACTTTTACTGCGGTATTACCGCCAGCTGTACTACGTGGACCGCCGGTTTTTCCCGCCTTCTTCGGCGACAGCGACCGCACCGCGAAATCATCCACTTCACAACCATCAGCAACAGGACAACCATTACCGTCAGAACAAGCAGCAGCAGGCACCTGACGCGTCGTCGTCACTACCAGCCATTTATTTCGAGTGGTAATTTTCCTTCATCGTACGCGGTTTACTGATCAGCACTAGTGAAACTTTTCTCGTGGGGTGTTCCTCTTACTATCGGTGTTTTAACGACACAGTATATATTTTTTAGTTATCTTCAACCCTACCGAGAGCTGTATCCTTAATTGTGAGTAGGTACGTTCTTTTTTTTTTTCGTAGGAAAAAATTTACAGTTTCTCGGAACTCATGCGTTTAATTATATGCTTAAACATTCTTCAGATGATCGAATCGACAAAAATACGCAGTCATTGATCGTCAAGTTGCTTGCATTAAAATTACATCGAAATCGGTTAAATTAACATCGGGCATCGGAGAGTAACTTTAACAATGTTTGTCGAAAATTATTTGTTTCCAATAATCAATGAGACGACCCTTAACAATAAGGAATTTTCAATAATACATATTTGGACGGGAAATCAGATCTAAGAGAAAATAATTTCTTTCCGATTGCTATACGTACTGTTGAATGGTTTTAATATGAACAAATCGAACGTGTTTTTCATTTCTTTCCTAACCGTCGTTTATTAACGACGGTGTAAATCGTAATAAGCACATAATATAATTTTTGTGCGTGAGACATCAACCGATGGACAGTCCCCATCGATTGTAATGCGATGATTATTACGATTAATATTTTTTAGCCATATAGCTAGTACAATTGTACATAAACAACAGATTAATGCGTGCTCTAATTTCAACGTTATTTTTCTTTACTGTCCCGACTACTTGTAACGATTTCCCGTAACCACAGACAACTCATCACCAATACCTATACATCGGGTTTCGGGTCGATTGTTTGTGTACACAAACCGTCATTGCTCATTCTTGCATCGATCAAATCAGTTACGCTTATGTACGCTCGGTCGTAGGTATGATTCGTTCGGCGGTCCCGTCCCGTCCTGTGGACAACGCACGGTCCGATTCGAACAGGCGTGCGTGCTGTTCAACGTGGCGGCGGTGCACACGCAAATGGGCGCCAAGTATGACCGCCGTTGCACCAACGTCGGTGGCAGAGACGACGACGACACCAGCGGCACTGGGAAACCGACCGCCAGCTCTTCGTCGACATCGACCGGACCGGAAACCGTGGACGGTGCCGTGGCCGCGGCGCAATGTTTCCTGAGGGCGGCCGGCGCGTACCGGCACATCGGCGATACGTTCGCCAACGCTCCGGCCCGGGCTGCCGATCTTCGCGCCACCGTCGTCCTTTACGCCCTTATGATGGTCAGTATGCGTGTTATTTAGATCATAAGACGTACATAAGTGTGTCGTAAGTGCGCACGACCGTGTGTCCGGTGCAGCATACATTTTCAACCGGCCCAGCAGAACAAAGAGTGAACCCACTAATTTCCTTAATTATGATCATACAAGAAATATGCTAAATAAAAAGCAATCGTATTCGTATATAATTTATTTATTATATTATATACAAATACGATTTTTTTTTTTTTTATGTATACTTATATTAAATATAATATACTGTCGTATGTACTTTTATAATAATACTAAACAAAAATATTATAGGAATCACGTAAAATAAAAACAAATCGACAGTTTTACCATTATACCGTTGCCCTGATTAGTAGTTGAGCGGTTGTGTGTTTTTGTCTGTAATGACGGGCTCGGAAGTTTTGTGAAATCGTTTTGTCATATAAATTATTTCTAGAGAATATTTTGCTAGAAAAAAATAACTAATTTAATATAACTGTATAAGGATCTGGTATATAAGTAGAAGAGGTATGGAATGCTATAAACGTTGACAGAATATAAAAATGAAAAAACGTCAAGCCAGTCATGATTTGTGTATTGTCTGTGTACATTGGAAAATATCTGGTCAATGAAAGCATCTTGTGAATCAATAATTGTGCAGAATATCCCCTTGCATCCCCTTTCATCTGTAGTAACTTTTCCATCACCGATATCTATTAATTGTTTTGAGAATCTTCCGCACGTAGCTTTTTCTGATTGAATCACAAGTATCGTAATCGTTTGCTCTTTATCTTTACATACATGTCGACCATGAATTGTTGACAAAGCTCACGACATCGTAGAAAACGTTGTCCTGATCGCGTTAAATCATCAATCGATATGCATAATAATCCTTCGAACTAACATTTTTATTTGTTTTGGTACCTGTTTCGGGATCTTGTTGTTTAATATTTATGCAATACCAGTGATTTAATACGGAAAATAAAATTAATAGTTTTTAAATAGTTTTAATAGTTTTTTTAATAGTTTCATTTAATAATTCATTTTCAATTGCACAGTTATCGACTGGGTCAAAAATTATTAAATTAAACTACGATTTATTAAACAATAGTACTTTTACAAAATTTTAATAATTGAAAATAGGGTTAAATGGAATGGTTATATAAATTATTTAAACAATATCCTACGACAATTCTTTTATCTATTAAAAGAAATAAAACATCTATATATTTAACGACTTATATAAAATAATTATTTATTTATTACTAGTATAATTAATTGTTTTTTATGGTAAACCGATTTAGGGATCATGAATATTCACTTATCCAGAATCAATACTGCTTTAAATTGCATAATTAAATACTTATTATATATTTATCCAAACTAGAACCAGTCTATAATAAAATGAATGTTAGGTTAGGACTGATAATTTATCAGTCCTACACGAACTTATAAGCAAAAAAATTTAGTATCTTTCTCCGATAATGAGTATAATACCAAATACAGAAAAAATGTAAATATATCTTCCAAATCGTATTAAAGTTTTTGGCCAAAAAAGTATATTATAAAATGGTCTAAGTTTATGTTAAAGTAAGTTAAATATAAATATAAATATTTTTCATATGATATAATAATTTAAAATGTTTTAAAAACTATAGAAGAGTTCTAAATTTATCAAGTAATTAATTATTAACTTATTAATTATTTATTATTTATAGTTATATACAATCAAAATATTAAATAGTTAATATTTTCATTTTATTTTATTTTTTTATCCCCTTATATTTTATATTATCTTCATTTTGTTATAAAATGTATTTTCATAAACTATAAATTATTCTGAATATAAAAACTTAAGTAGATAAGAATCGCTACCCCCACACAAGGTGTGCTTAGTAGGGTAGCTGTATTATTATATTTTATTTTTTGAAATTGTAAATTACGAATATTATTGTTACAATAAAGCATACAATAATAATAATAATAATAATAATAATAATTTTTACGTAGAAAAATAAATGAAATCTTGTAAATGAGTATTTAAAATATCTAAAAATGTGTATAACAAACGAGGAAAATCGACGGAATCGTGCTGAAATCGAAAATATGACGATAAGCGCAAAAATCCGCACTGAAATTATTTAGATTCATTATTCGTACACGCATAAAACGAATTTAAAGCGTGCAATACATCGATGGATCTGAAAAATAGTTACAAACGCAATAACTTCCGAGCTCCGGCAACGGCTCCGCATCCGTGCGGTACGCCTTTCAAATAGATATCCGCAGACCCGAAATAGATCCAAAACGAATTGCCGTTCGATGCGCTCGCATACGTACTGGACGGTTTAGTGCTGCTGCGCACGGTCGATAGGGGTAGTCGGTAATCGCGTGTTGTTGCACTTAGGCCCAGGCGCACGAGTGCGCTTTTGAGAGATTGCAGTGGCGGTTCTTGGCGTCCGTCCGGCATCGTTGTCGCCGTTTTCGCCGCGAGGAACACGTCCGCAAGCTGCCACTCCAGACCGAGGCCGGCCGCGGTGCACCGAACGCGTCCGCGAAACGATCGTCGACGGTAACGGCGGCGGGTGGCGGTTCGAACGACGTGACTGTGAACTACTCGCCGTCCTGGACGGATTTGGCGCGCGAAGCGGCTCACGTGAGTACCTCCACACGGTTTCCATTGTCGCACGACGACCGATCGCACGCTTGGATCAAAATTGTAACAACTCGAATAGTGGACGTTTTTTGTCGATAATTTCGATTCGGTTCTACAAACGAAGTTGTACGAACCAAAAAAAAAAAAAAATCTATTTCGATCAGTCTCGAAAATTGGAGGAAAAAACCGTTGCAATTTCAGTTGCAAAAAAAAAAAAAAGTTGTTCTTTGAGCCGTTACGGTTTCGATCCACGCGTGCAAAATGTTGTGCGACTATACTACGCTTTTGAATTGCTTTTGGCGGCACGCCCTCGCCGGTTGAACTGTCGTCGATTTATTTACTTTTTTTGTTTGTGAAGTTGTCGCGAATGTACGGGGACGTGGTGTACAACAGCAGCTGTCGTCCCAGCGACGGGGCCGCGCAAGGTTCAAAGGAAAACAGCGGCGAGCAGGGAGGCGCGCACTCGTCCATGCTGCCGGACGTTTGGGTGTCCGTGTGCAGAATCAAAGACCGACACTACGCCGCGTTGGCTTACCGTTACGCGGCGTGCGCGCTGCTCCCGTACTACCGGTGCACCGTCGACTCGTCTGATGACAGGCCGCACCACGGCCGACGCCGATGGCGAAACGCTAATGACTCGAACGCAGGTGAACTGTTCCAAGAGCTAATGACGGCCGCGGCTGCCGCGGGCTTGGAGATGGCGGAAGACGACGAAGTGACGTCAGAAACCATGCGGCAACAGCAGCGATGCAAGCACCTCGGTAATACACGGATCATATTTAATTTTTTTTTTTTTTTCTATACTTTTCCTCATGCACGCGAATATGTTGTTATGTGTCACTACAAAAATTGCATAGGACTAGCCGCTTACTCAGTATTTGTTCGAAGTTGAACGTTGAACGTTTCGTGAATGTTACTCGTATTCAGGTTGATCTTAAATAGGTACCTACTCTGGAAAATCTGATGATCAAACCAAGTAAACAACTGCTCGTATAACAGCGCGAAGGTATCTATCGTTTGAACACAACGCGTTCCGGAAGTTTTATCGTTCGTTTCGAGTACCAATCATACATGAAATTATAATGTTAAAAATAAATAGTTTTAAAATTCTAGTGGCTGTATTCGACTTTATGTGGCATATACCTTCTGATGAGCAGCACTCCGTATTCATGTCCTCGTAAAAATTGATTTTTTCCCACCTTATTCGAAACCACTTTCAAAGTTCTCACGTTTTTAGCTCAATGCGTTTAGTATCATGCGAATTACAAATAATAAACCATCCTGTTTTGTACTTGTTTATGATTAAACAAATATAATAAATATTTAACTGTCGAAACTTGGATACAATTTTCACGCGATACGCTATTTCATTGCAGGTAAACTGTTGCTCGAAGCGGCAGCAGCAGCGCATGATCGAGCAGCCCGTGCACAACGATTATGTCGACAACTCCGGGCTAAAGCTGAATGGAACACTTCTGGTGGCGGCGGATTACTAGCCGGAGTATTGGATCGGGAAAGGCAGCGAACAGTACGATTGTTGTTAATGCATCGTCGCAACGACGATGAATACGGTACCACAAAGAGCAACGACGAAGACGAGGACGATGAAAATCACTGTTGCTGCCGTTACCGTTGCTTCAGCGATGACGAGGACAACAGTAACGGCGACGCGACGAAGGCGACCAAGGAACGTCGTTATGAGGATTATCACGACTGTTGCTCAGATGACGAAGGTACGGACGCTGCCGCAGTCGCGGATTACTGTTCCGGCAACGCTGACCAAGAGGAATTCACTGCGGCTGGAATAGCCGGTATACCCGGCTTGGACGTGGATCGCGGTGTGCTCATCAGACGTGAGTTATCTATATATTTACTTGACAGCAATTCGTATACATATTAATTAGAGTTAATGTGTTTGGATTATTTATTTGCACTATCAGTACATAACAGCGTGTCATTAAATCGAAAACTGAGCACGTTAATTTAAAAAGCGATTAATGCATTTTTTTAGTGTACCAAGTTATTTTAATATCAACGATAAACTGTGAACAGTTTTTTATACTCGTATATATCGAATCTCGGACAACGAGCGTTTGTAATTTTATTGAAAAAAAAAAACAATTAAATCACTGCTTGATCGCCAAGTGAAACTACTCGGATTCAATACGTTCGTGTTAGTCGATAATATTTATTTTCGAGTACGGTTTTGCTAAATATGTTTGGAAAAAATAAGCGGTTGTCTATTTTTTCGTTACGATAAAACAAACAAACATCACGGTGCAGGTAGTATATATACTATATAATATTCGTACGAATCAATGTTCGACTTGAGGGGGAACACAGGGGCACGGAATACCCCGACTAATTTTCGGAAATTTTAGCGTTCCCCTAGTGTTATTACGTTATAGTTATAACGATTAACAAGTTTTGGAGCACGCTAATTTTTTTGAATTATACAAAGTGTCCTCCTTCTTCAGTTTTGCCAAGTCGAGCACTGGTACGAATAATTGAAACGCAAACACCGAGCCCGACGTACGCGATGTCTGAGCGAATATTGTCGGTATTCGTCGCGTTCAAACTTAATGACACGTAATTTATCTTTATTAGCCCGTACTCGATTTCGGCTGATGTCGATCGCACCGGACTTCACGGACACCGGAGACGGTGACGACGATGTTGACGGCGTGACGACCGCGACTAAACAGCGTGGCGGTGGTGACGATCGACCACGGCAAAGGCAACACTTGCACGAGGCAGCTGATCGAGAAGAACGCCGAGCCGACCTGTTTGCCGGGCTGGGCCCGGTGGCCGTGTTCTCGGCCCGTCACCGGTACACTCGGCCCCGGTGGGTGAAGATGGTCCGAGGCAGCCGTCACCGGTCCACCGCAGTCGACGCCGGTGACGATCACGACGAATCGCCTGCCACCGTCGATCCGATTCAACTCGTGGACAGGTGGTTCGGGTTCGAGTTGCGCAGTCACGGCGGCGGCGCGACGGCTGCGGTGCCGCCGGCCTCCGTGGGACACGTCCGATCCAATTCCCAGGCACAGGTGATTTAACGACGTTCACTTTATCGAACCGCGCGCGCCCATTGCAATTCCATTATATTCCTATGTACAAAGTACTTGTCATAGTTTTTTTAAAAGCAATGCGCAACTTTCATCCAAATGTTATTTTGTAAGATCTTACCCAACGGTATGATTATGCCGTCCACGCACACGCATTAATATCACGTTTTTACGTTGCAGTACGCTGGTCTGAAACGAGGGGATATTGTGGTGGAGTTGAAATGCACCGGGAACGGTGTTGACCGTGTTCTGGACGTCAGGTGGGACACGTGCCGACGTGTAGCCGAGCTCATCGTAAACAATCAAAGACGTCGGCACTACGGTTCCGGCGACAGTGGTGGTGTGTCCGTGCAATTGAAAGTTGTAACGCCAATCACTGCAGCGGTGGCGTCTGATGGACACGCGACCAAGTCAACGTCAATGGACCCGAACAAGGTACGGTTAGATATGTGTTATGCAAAACGTTAAATGTGTAGTACGAAATTAAAAAGTGTGTTGTGGTTCTATTCTTTATATTATGGTATTTATTTTTAATTTTATATATTTTTAAAATATCAAGATGTATCATCAGCAAAATCTAAAATATGAACTATTTTAATTGTGTTACTCATTACTGTTAACGTTTGAAATGGGAGTATGACAAAACCCCTAAGCGTGCAGTACGAAAAAAATATATATTTTAGCCTCTGTGAAAATCTATTCTCAAAACTAGGATAAAACTAGACCCTTTGATATACGTTTAAAACAATTTTATAATAAACATAGAAATATATTAAACTTATTAGTAAGAACATCTATACAATTACATTACCAAGAAAAAATACAACGTGCTCAGTCTGATTGCAAACAAGTTTGGAATATCATTAATTAGGTAATAGGAAAACCATACAAATTAAAAAATATAATAAACAATATAGTATTATTACTGACGATGAAATTAAAATTTGTAACGAGTTAAATAACCACTTTATAAATGTAAGAAATAATTTAAAAATAAAGATTATAAATTCAAATAGATTCATGCCTGGTGATAATGAAATAATAAAATACAGTATCTATATTTCTTAAACTAATTAGTAGTGATGAAATTATTGAACACCTTAGTAAAATCAAAAACTACAATAAATTTTAATAAATCATTAATAACTGGTTAATATCCTTTGATAAATAAAAAAAATATAGTTATTCTAATATTTAAATGAGGTGATAAGTTAAAATCAGAAAATTAGCGACCAATATTTTTATCATTAACCTTAACAAAAATCATTGAAAAATGTATTAAATTTTACTCTACATGTTCTTTTTATCTAAGATGCATTTTTTTAGTGTATAAATGCATACATATTACAGTCATTTTACAAACATAATCATCCGATGCATAAAGTAAATCAACCTATTTAGTGAGGCCTATTATTTTTCGAAGAAATAAACAAGAACAATAATATTAACAATTAGTAATCTATAAACTACAAGAATAAAAATAATTTTACAATTAACAATGAATAATATATCAAACATTAATAATAAAAAAAAAAAATTGGTATATAGGTAGGTATAAAATAATATTAAACATTATACTTATCTATTTATATTATAATAAAACTATTATAAAGACAGTTAAACAAGTCATTAATAAATATTTGATGAATTATTTTAGTGTACATAATTCGTTTTTCGACATTGATGGAACCCAATAACTTTTCAATTATTTTACTCTAGATGTTGTTATTGTAATTCTGAAAATATACAAAGCAATTTACTTTTGCTCTTTAATATAAATGTTTAATAAGTGTAATCAATTTAATATTCTTCAAATTTTATTTTTTTGGCCAAAATAAACTACTTCAGTGTTTTAAAGTTCAATCCTTAATGTTTATCCAAATTTCAGTAAACGTGTAATCTACACATTAATAAGAAAATTGTTTAAAATATTTTTAGAATTAAAATCGTAGTATTATAAGTTTACACAACCTTGTTAGTGTTTAAATATTTAATCTATGTTGAAGTTATTAATAATGGGATACATTCAGTTTAGCGGCGCATATGAAATAATTGGGTTTCTAATTTACTTATTATCATTTTGGAAAGATTGTTATTAATTTAGTATAATATATATGTAAGAGAAAAAACACAGTTGTTTCAATATCTATTTAACTTTGTATTATTCACAATAGATGTATCCCCGAAGGAAAACAACCACGTCGGTGATGACTTCATCTCAACATTCCAGCCTGCCACCAGCACAGATGTTGTCGCAGTCAACCTCCAAACAACGACGTCAACGAAGACAGACAACTAATAGTGGCAATGACACTACTGATAGTACTAACAAAATAAATACATGGTTATGGAATCCTTTCCGGCGGCGGCGGAGAAGCGTGATCGGAAACAAGTGTTAGTAAATACTTGCCCTGCCCTCCATTCAATAATTAGCATTGTATCTATCTGGTTGTTGAGTAAAACAGGTTATAGGATAAAATTCAACTATTACTTGTTAATAATAAATGCGAAATAAATGTAAATGTTTACTATTTTTTTTTTTGTATTTTTTTTTTAGTAATATAACTGTTACCCTTAAAGTTAAATTATCATTTAAACTTAATATAATATTAAATCCTTAACAAATTGAGGGGAGTAACTTAAAATAATAAAATTCGATCGTTACCTTATATTTTAACAATAATTGGTGATAGTTATTCCAAACATAAAATTTGAGTTATGAATAAATTTAAGTAGCTAAATCGCCATAAGTATTTTAAGTAATTGATATATTTCTATTTCGCTAAGACTTTTTACTAGTTTATTAAAATATACAAACAACAATAGAACTCTTATATATTTGATCTTTTTTAGTTAGCATTTATGAATGTGTTATTTTTTGATTACAAAAATAATTTTGAGTATATTGAGGTACAATCACTTTAGACTTAAGTATATTTAAATATACTGGTGATGATAATATTGATATACTTATTTAATATATGAATTAGTACACTTCAATTATTTTAAACTTATTCATATCTTTATTATATATTTGACTGGTCCTTAGTATTGGAAGATGGTGGTGGCTCGTCTAATTTAGTATTTGTAGTATTAGCATTAGTAATAGCAGCACAAGTATCAACAACAGATGAATTGCAAGTAGAATTTTCTGCTACAGGAGTAGTATTTGTAGCGGTTGTTGTTTTTGAAGCTTTGCAAGTGATAGCAGATGTGTTAGGCCTTTGAGAGTTATTTACATTATTGACGACATTGACCTGTGATGGAGTTTGCTGTTGTGACTGATATTGTAATCTGTAAAAATTTTAAATAAGTAAAATAACAATATGACAAAATTAAATGATATAGTATGATAATATAATATAATATTATAAATGCATAAAATAAGAAAAAAATTATAAAAAAATCTGAAATTATATCAATATTCTCTACATAGCAAAATATTTAAAAAATAGTTAACTTAATAGTTTTCTATTAAAAACTTGCAATTGTGTTAACATAATATAATACTATTATAAAAAAATCTTTATTTGTATTTATATTAGTAGCCATAAAGTGAAATTAATTTTTTCATTAATTTGATGACATATTATAATTCTATGAAATTTTATTCAATGTAATGTAACTTAAATTAATGAGTTTCTATCTATATAATTTATGTACAACTGTATTAGTGTTTCACTTAGTTATTATTTAACACTTAATTAACTTGTATATATTTATAGTACATCTTTACAAGACATTGTCAAATCAATAAAATATATAAATATAATGGATTTTAGTACGAGTCGCAATTAATTTTATTTAAAATTATTGTTTTAAATATTAAATAAAAAAATAGTTCAGATATGATTTTAAATATAATTTCTTAAAACATTAAAACAATTTATTACGATATTACAAATTCATTTAAAGTATTATCTTATTAATGTTAAAATAAAAGTGACTATATTGTAAATGACAGTTATATGTTGTCATGTGTTATATAACACCGAAACGTACCTTTTCTGATTATTGTCAACGTTGGCATCATTAATTAGTGGTGATGATGATGACGGTGAAGATAATAGTAGTTGTTGTTGCTGTAAGAACTGGCTATGGTTATAACGGCTTTCAATGTTATCTTCATCATCGCCAGAGCCTGCTTTTTCATTTTCCACGTGGTATCCGTCCCAAAAAAAGTATTCGTCGTCGTCATTGTAGTCATCATCGTCGTCGCAAAAACTATCGCTTGCATATGGACATACACTGTTACTGCTAATGCTGCTCTGGCGACGACCTCTGTACCGGTTATTTTCATTACAGTCATTGTAGTCTATCATTGAATTGACGTCACTCAATGCAGCTATATAAGATAAACGTTGAGTTAAGATTACAATATTGATTATGATAATTATACAGTTTCTATTACTTTAATATAATATAAAATTAAATTTAAAGATCAGATAATGTTGGATAATCAAGATAATCAGATAATAACCTTCAGCGTCTGTAAGCCCAGTGTCGTTCAGGGTGGATAAGTTGTCAGCTAGTTGACGTGCTGGAGATATATTTGGTAAATCAGCAGCCGTGGCATATGACATCTCAGTAGCCATACCAGCTGTGGAGGGAGGTGCATCATCTGTAGTGTATCCAGTGGTTGTGTATCCATCGCCATCACAGTCAGTTGTGTACCCGTCACCTTCGCCGCCAGTAGTATATTCGTTATCGGCAGCAACCAAGGTAGCATTGGCATCATATTCACCTACTGAAAGTCCGATGCGTTGTTGGTGACCATCGTTCAATAATGACAATGACGGTTCCATTGACTCGTCATCACTCCATAAAGATTCTATCGCGGTTGTTGGAACTCGTCGTCGGTTGTGTAGACCCGATTCATTAGTACCTACCGTTACTCCTCTGACAACCGCTACCACGTTGTTTTTATGTTCTTGAAGTATCCGTCTAACTTCAGCTTGCTGAAATATCAAAAAACACAAGAAAAATAAAACAATAAAATAAGTACAGTCATGTAATTGATCATAACTGAACAATTAATAAGTTCAGAAACGTGGTGAATATGGGTCCAAAATAGGCTATTTTCCCTGATAAATATTGAAAGGATGGTGGATGCCCCTAGCACCGATATTTTTTACATAAAATTCCTGTTCTTTTTTTGTGTTATTAATTATTATTAAGTATAGTAAATTAGATCAGGTATCAGTTGTCCAGTTATGACTTGAAGACGTTCTATTAAATAGACATACATTTTTAAAGGTAGTGTGGGTACCAAAAATGTATGTTGTCCTTTGCAATAATAAAATAATCCAGTCGCCACGCTACTGAATAAGTTTATACAAGGTCCAGCAGAACTATTCAAACACTCAAACATCGCATTTGAGACGAAATTGAATCAATTTCCATTAATATGCTGCGAGAGGTCATGCATAACTTTAAGTTCCGCCTACAAGAATGCATAAATAACAATGGAGGTCATTTGGCAAACGTAGTACATAGAAAATAGTATTTTTTTGTATTAAACATAAAATTGTAACTCTTATACTTTATATTTATTAAAATTAAAATTAAAATTTATTCATTCATTAAATAGTAATTAAGTGATGAAATCATCCCATTTCACTGCCGGACCCTGTACAATAAATATATTAAACTTATTAATAGGGTTCGGATTTTTATGAAATTGCATATTTTTTTTTATTTATCCAATTTAATGCTAACCTGGATATAAATTTAATTCATGTTCTACTGAATCAAATAATACTATTTTTATTTTGCATATTTTTACATATTTAATGGTCTTATTTTTTAGTTGCATATTTTGGGATTTTAAAAATAAAATTGCATAGGTATTTCAGTACATTTTTTTAAAAAACAATTTAATTGAATGAACTATACAATTAATTCTGCAATTTTTAAACATAAGTTTTATAAGTGTTGTAACTACAATCTATCACGCATTGGGGAACGTGGTTGGAGACAGAATTTTACTCTCTAATAATTTGAATAAAAAATAAATTAAAGGTTGAGGATCTTGCAATCTTCAAATATGTTCCAATAACATCAGTTGATGTAGAACGAAGTTTTTCACGGTACAAAAATGTACTTAGTGATAACAGATGTAGTTATACATTTTATAAAATTAAAAAACCCATAGCAATACAGTGTAACGCTAATCATATAATAAATAATAAATAATAATGTAAATCAAATTAAATAAAATGCTATGCAAATTTAAAAATGTTTTTTTTTGTGTATAATATGGTTTTTATTAGCTAAAAATGCATATTTTATAATTTTTAGTACATATTTTGATTGCATATTTCGCAATTTTTTAGTGCATAAATGCATGCATATTACAGTAGTTTTAAGAGGAGCCCTACTTATTAATATATTATACATACCTGTATAATTAATATAATACATGCAGGTTTGATTTATAAATTTCGTTTGCAATACACAAAGTTAACCTTACCAAGATTTTAATACCAATTAAGACTAACATGTAATAAAACAATAATTTTTTTCACCTGTCGTCTGACTTGTTCCGTTATTTCCCTTTCACGTGCCTCAAACGATGAAGTTGATGACATATTTTCTCTATCAGTAGTTATACCAATAGTTTGAGAAACTACAATTGCAGCTGAGTTTATATTACTATCTTTGCTATCGTTTTCGTTACGTTGATTTTCTATATTTCTATCGAGATTTTGATCCGTCGTCGAAACAACAGCAGTTCGTTGTGGCTTTGAAGATGAAGATAATTTAGCAACTGTTTCGTATATTTTCCTAACATAAAAACAAACAATGTGTAAAAAGGTTTGGAAGTTTTCATTTTATAAGAGGCCGCAAAATTGTAACGTTGATAGTTCACACAAATATAGAATTCTGAGGCTCACACTTATATATTTACTTTCTTTTACTAATGAGCTCATAAAAGTTTATCAATAGAGCAGCATATATATTAAACTTATTTAAACTTAATTAAGAATTCATTAAGTATTAATAATAATGTATAACTTAAATTATTAATGATTCAATTTTTCCACACTCTTAAAATAGAAAATAAATATTGTACTCACTCTTTAACATGACGATGTTTGTTAACTTGTACTTCTTTTCCTTCGCATAGGCCTCGCTGTTGTTGACGGACATTGCCACGGTGATGATCCAATAACAGTATGCGTCTTATTTCGTCAGTAAAGTCAGCACCTACAACGGCACAACCTGATCCTTGTTCTTTACTCGTTACTTGTCGTCGATGTTGTTGTTGTTGCTGTTGCTGTTGCTGTTTTTTCCAAGGTGACGGTAATGGTGATTCAGATTTTTCAGATGACGTCATTGCGGTGGCAGTAACAGCACTTGTAACATCTGGAACGCCAGGAGATATCGATTGTTCAGTGTTTGGTGTGTTGTTTTGCTGCTGTTGTTGTTGCCGACGACGCCGACGACGACTAGAATTGCTAACACCAGAAGTAGTATTGGTGGGGTGAATACGACGGCGGTTTAATGATTGTGTACCACTAAAGCCTGTGGTGATGGCATTCCCCGCCATAAGTGGAGATTTTAATGACGATGAAGATACGGCAATGTTGTCGCCACATGAAAGTGGCGATCGGAAAGAAGACGATCGTTTAACGGGAGACGAATTGGCTGTGGTTGATGGAGACCATTGACGAAGCAGCATATGTTGCTGTTGTCGATACCGGTGGTGAATAGGAGACAAAGCTGCGGAAGAGGCAGCAGTATCGAAATCTTCAATATCCGCTCGATCAATGCCACCGCCATCTTCTGTAGCTGTACGACCGAAACTTTCGTCCGACGACGAAGCAGTAGTAGTAGTATTATAATTGTTATTAGACGTGGTAGTACCACCGGCATCTGTGGACTCGGATGATGACAATGACGATGGCGGAGATGACATACCAATAAAACTTCCTGCACTAATTGGTGAACGAAACGAAGACGACGATGGCCAAGCTGCCGACGATACCACCACTGGGTCGTTATTAATATCTGATCGGGCAAGCAGTTGTTGTGTTTCCTGTTGATGTTTGTCCATCATTTGCGATTGATTATGATGCCGCCGCCGCCGCCGAGGATCGTGGTGATGTCGTTGTCGACCAGCTACAGTATCGGAAGAACGCGGTGGCGCTGGCAATGGTCGGTCAGCGTCAAAGTTTTTAGATACATTTGGAGCCGTTTCTGTTGCTGTGTTTGAAAGCAGTAAAACATTCGGTCGGCGTGGTTGCTGTAGTTGTTGTGGAGTATTTTTGGTAGAAAATACAGTTTCATTAGTACTATGGTTTGAGGTACATGTTGGTTTGGATTTGGAAATAGTTGGTGTGTGTTGTGGCGATATCTGTTTTGGTTCATCGCCAAAAATTTTAACAAGCCCCCGAGGCACCACAGTTACACTAGACTGTTTATTATTGTTCTGTTGTTGATGTTGTAGTGGACGAGCGTATATGGCTGTGGTTTTCGCAGTCGTTTCAGGAGTGCACCGGTTCTGTTGTTGAATGTTATGGGACAATTGGCAACCTGCTTGTGAATAAGGGGAAAAATAATTAGTAAAAATATATGTAGAGGCATTTTACATTTAATATTTAATTGTTGTAACAGTCACCTCGTGATCGTTGTCGTTTATCCAAGTTTCGTTCACGTTCTCCACTACATTGATATTGAACTTTGGGATAGTTAGTAGTATGCTGTGTGCACCGCATGTTTACAGGTGGTGGACTACGTGGTGGTGGTGGTGGCGGTGGTGATTTTTGAGGTTCCGTATTAATATGCCTTATTTCTTGTTGCTGTGGAATAGCGTTATAATATGAATGTTGCGAGTGTACAGTAACAACGGGTATATTATGCAACTGATCCCGAGGTAATTGTTGTGTGATCGCACGGTAGGCATTCTGGGATGGTTGTATAGTAGATGGATGTTTATACAGTTGTAGGCGGTCTTCCGGCTCGAGATGCTGAAGATGACTTTTATTACTCATAGAAACTTGATGGTGTTGAGTTTGACTATAGTTAGAAGAGCCTGAAGCCTTGATCGAATTATGACTTTCATCAGACTCAAAATTTTCACGAACGAAGTAAGCAATTCTTTTGTTGTCTTTGTTGATCAATTTGGTTCGGACATCAAACTCATATTTAGGATTTCTTATCGATTTCATTATTTCAACCACATAGTTTGTGACTTGTGTACTTCCTGGTACACCAGTGGTATCCATTTGGTGGGCTACATTTACTGTATTTCCCCATATATCATACTGAGGCCGTTTCCATATACTGTCATTACAACCAATTAATCCAGCCACAACCGGTCCAAGGTTAACTCCTGTAAATATATATAAATAATATGTTTTAATAGTTTTAAATATAAAATAGAAAAAAGATAAAAACAAATTAACAGTATACAAAAGTATTCTTACAGTTTTAATTTTTTAACTAATTAATTGTAAATTGAAATAATATGACTAGCTAGTTATTAATAATTTATTAATGATTAGGAATATAATAGGTGAATATGGAATCTAAGTTTTGATGTTGTTCTTTTTATGAAAAAATTATGCCTAATAAATAAAAAATACGAAGTTTATTATGATTAAAATTATAAAAGTATGTCTAAATTAAATTATTGATGGTTAAAAAACAAATCAAATTAAAATGCATTAACTTTTATTCTATTAAAAAAGAAATTCATATGGTACAATTTATTCTATTAGAATTTATTAACTGTAAGATTTATTGTTATACTTGATTATAAAAATATAAATACATTGGGAATTCTGGGAGTTACTATTTTTATCTTGTACTAACCAACTCGAAGAGCGATTTGTGAGTTACACGAATTTGGAGTCATTACTGATGACTGTTGGCGGTATAGAATACGACGCATGTTACAAATGAAATCCAAAGCAAATATAACATGATGTGCTGATAAAACATCATATAATTCGTAGCCATTTGCTAGGTTATTGTCTATGTCATCTTTTTCGTCTTTGTTATTATACTGACTAGTTTCATTGTTTCTTTGTTTTATCTCTTTCAGCAACATGAGTAATTGATGCTCTGATTCATGCTGATGTTGCAGCCCAACAGCTGCCATGTATGTGTTGGTTCCAACCATCTTAATTTTTTCAACCAGACCTCGAAATTTTTGGCCATCGAGTAGCTTTTTACATAAAAAAACATTTTAAAATAAAAATTAATTTAGATTCATACTTTATAAAAATTACCCGATCAAATTCACTGAATATGTTGTGAAATAATGAAAGCTGACGATAATTGTAATGACAGTTGTTTTCACTGCTTGGGATAATGGTTGGTAACATTTGATCTGATTGTACAACAGTAGCAAATATGACGACTACAGATCGGTAGCCATAGTAATAAAGTGGAGATATGTAAGCTGGAATCCGTTCTCGAATTTGGCGGTTTAGCTAATAAATAAGAAAAATAATACATAAGAGCTATACAAATTATTGAGTAATACTGAATGTACCGAGTGGTTCATCGGTATTGGTTGGTTATCAGCAGATATTAAATTAAGTTCCCGCCGAGTTCTTCCATAATCAACATTTTTTGTATCAGAGTAGATTTTTTGTAATGAATTAGCTACATGGTCAGGTACGATGGCATGCAAAGTACGTCGATGGGCCACACGTAACACACCCAATCGTCTGTATTCACGATCCATCTGTAAATACAAATTGACAACTTGAATTAATATAGTACAGTAACAAAAATACTGTTCCAAATGAGTTATACCTAATTGTAAATACTAACCTTAACCTTATTGTGGGCTCGCCGATCTAGTAAGTGATGCTTATATATGAAGCAAATAAGAGTAGCCATGGCAAATGCAATTGCATACACTGTAGCAATCACAGTATTCAATCCAGCAGCATGCTGTAGTTCTTGGTCATGTTCCCTAAGCCATTGTTTGTTGGTGGTGTTAATAATCTGTTGACCAAGAATATTGACGTTTTCAATATTGTAAGGTCTCTGTGATGATATTGAAGCGGCAACAAATACATGTCGATGAGTAAAGTGAATAAATGCTACAGCGAACACACAAGTCATGACAAATAGTACTCCGATTTTTATACGCAATGTTGGCAGAGATCCATAATATATTGGAAATGTAATAACAATTGACACATATACAAGGCAGCATGTAAGCACAGCGTATTGAGGCCAAAAACAAGTCAATGGGCTATGGTTTTTGTCTTGTGTTGTATTGATATTAACTATAGGAGTATTGAATTCACCAGTACCATTGATGATTTTGTTTTGGACATGGAATTGATCATCAAAATTAGCATTTGATGTAGCTGTCGCTACTGGTTCACAAGTAAACTACAAACAATAAAATATGCCATAATTTCTATGCTTTTTGTTAAATGTATAAATGTAGTTATAAATAAATATCGAAAAAATCATAGTTAACATACTTACAGCGTTTAATAGGGCTAAAAGACATACTAGTAACACAACGATTAGTTCACTACAAGCACCTAGCCAAAAGAACCAAGTGCGTCTTTCTTCGTCTTGATATTTTCGCATTAATCGCCTATGTCGCTGACGTTGTCTATTGGTGTTTATATTAAGGGGCTGTGCATGTTGTAGCTGATTTTGTTGTTGTTGTGGTGGTGGTGGCGACACACCCGCTGTAGATGCCATTATGGCATTCTCGTTCCGAAAACCAAGTCGGCTCTCGATATCACTATCGTCAGACGATACACCAGACGACACGCCTTCATTATCAAAACATGATGTGAACCAGCTATGGCGACCGTAACATTGACAGCAACGGCACCATTTTACAGGAAGCCATTTCCAACTGTTATTATTTTCTAGAGGACTGCGAGTCGAAATAGTAGTATTAGACTCTGACCTAAAAGGCTTAAATATTCTAGCCAAAAACGAACAGCTACCAGGATGATGACAAATAAGAAAACGAGTTAAACATCTGCCACCACCATCACTGTTGTAACTACTATCACTATCATTGTTATCGCTATCATAGTGATGATAATATTCATCATCGTCAGCAAAAATTGCAGTGGAGTAAGTAGAGCTGTGTAACGTGGGGCGTGGAATCCAATCAATCAACAAGGCCATCACATATATAAGTTCTCCCTACGTCAAAATAAATAAAATTGTAATTATATAATTTATAACTAATATCTTTATTTGATTTGATGAAAAATACTCACAGCAGTTATAACAAACGGTGTAATAAACGTTATGCCAAGTAACAAAGTCCATGGCATGGTGGTTACATTCACCACAAACAAAGCAATAATCACACAAAGAAGCATTAGCTGTGATTTGGCTAGCCGAAAGAGATCATCATCATCAGATTTACCTCTAACTTTTTCATGTTCATTACTGTCATGACCTCCAAAAATATCATCCTCCCATCGACTGCGACGCGTCTAAAAAATATGACCATGAAATTAAAATAATAAACTCATTTAATTTATTTGTGTTGCGGTCACGATTTCTGCGCTTCTTCAGGTAAAAATAAAAATTAGAAGAGAAACATAACTACTCCACATTAAATACTGCATAATACGCACCATTGGTATTTTAATAGCAGAACTTGTATTCATTTTTGTCACCAAAGCTTGCAGGGACTCTTGTTCAAAATATTTACTACGCCTATGGCGGTTCATAACCATCTTAACGCTGGTTACTGGAGCGGTGGTTGTTACAGGTATGTCTACAGTTCCTGTTTTTTTAGTGGTTTGATCCAGTTGTTCCGAAGTATTTACATTTTCCTGCGTAGAATCAATGGAAACATATTGCCGCCGTATCTCCTCTTTCTGTAACTGGTGTTCTATCGATTGGAGAATCAACGGTTCAATATGTTTACTGTAATGATTTTCGTCATTGGTGATGTATGCATCACCACAATTTTCTATAGGATTTTTATTGAATTCTGAATTAGGAGACTAGAAAAAAATTACAAAACATATTCGTTAAAAAATATCCATTTAATTCATTATACAACATTTGTATCGGACTATAGCTTACCAATGTGCTAGGCACAACAAAATATGTATCGATTCGATTGTGGCGAAGAAACTGGTTTCTTTGTTCTTCATGACTCCGTTCGAAGGTATAATTGTCTTTATCACTAAAATCTGGTCCAGGGTTAACGGTTTTTTTGCGGAACTTGACTTCAGCTGGAAAATGGTTTGACCCAGAGGCTGCATTTGGCGCTACTTCTTTTTCAGTAATTTTATCAACAGTGGCCCGGCTAACGTGCACTAACCCTGGGCGACCACTGGATTCAATATGAGAAGCCACATTAACGTCACGGCCCCAAACATCATACTGCCAACGACTTCCGAAATTGGAACAGGTCCCTATGCCTCCTGTGAAACTCTGTACACCACATGCAATTCGGCCAGAATGAACGCCCACTCGAACATTAAGATTTATATTACGACCATAACCATGTCGGCTTACATCACGAATCACTGTACTGTTTAACAAAATGTTGGTGTTACAATTACAATATAATATTTAAAAAATTAACAAATTTACAATGTGCTAATTATGAGTTAATTAATTATTAATTTTTTTTATTTAATTTAGTACTTACTTAACGGCGTCGATTAGATCTAGTCCCAAACGGACAGCATTACTGGCATGTTTATCAGCGTCCAATGTCCACCTAGGGTTTTTATCGTCATGCAAATAACCCTCTTCAGCCGGAAGTCCTGCTACGAAGTATAAACGGTGACCGAGTAAGCGTATAGGAAGGCAGTGGTTGCTACGGGCCAGTGCACAAAATAAATCTACCATAAGTCGGTCAATAAGAGTGATGAGCTGACGAGACGATTGAGACCCAGATTCTCCATAGCCTGTGATAGCAGATCCATTGTTCCAGAAACCCGTTAGATTGGCAAACACCACACTAATATTTTCATATTCTTTCAGATACAATTTAGGCAGTTGAGGTGTTTGTAGATTTAATTCTTGTTGAGATGGTTTGCTCTGAGGATTATCGTCATTAGAACCGCTTATAATGTTATAGGAACGTGCAGCATCAGTGACTATATCATATTTCATTTCCGAAAATACGCGTATCGGCAGCAAAGACGTCAGTAGAAGATTCTGTTTTATATCAAAATAATATTAGTAACAGCATAAACTTTTTAAAATAAATTGTAAGTAGTAAAAATATTATAAATCATAGTAACATTTATTACTAAGAAGATAGATCAAGACATTTCCCATACATTTATGAGTAACTATAAAAACATTGCTAAATTCGAAAAGAATATGTTTTGAATTATCGGGGAATATAAAGTTAATATTAAGTTCGTACCACGGTGTAGAGAAGATTAGGCGATAACATTTGGGTATAGGCGCTTTTTTTATGGCCCTATTATAATTAAAATAAATTCCACTGACAGCGCCATCAACCAAAGGCATTATTATTATTTGAATATCTGTAATATACTTATACATTTGTGGTATAGGTTGTATAGGAAATAGGTGTATTGTGTAGCACTAATTAGTGATATAGCCAGGGGAATTCACGGGTTAAAAAATGAAATGTATCTCTTAATTTGTAAAGTAAACAATAATTTTAAGAAATAGGTATCATATCATCATAAAACAATTTTCACAGTTTCAATAAATTAAATAATTTAATATTTTAACTTATGTATAATCAATTTGCTAAAATGAAAATATAATACTTATATAAGAGGATTAAAAATTTTAAACCCTTCCAAAATATTTTTCTAGCTATACCACTGCTACCAATTTTCTATGGTTTCAATAGATTGTAAAATATTAAAATGTAAATATAATACTATATTCGATTTAATTTAGTTTTACATATTTCATATTACTTATTATCAATTATATAATATATAAATAGGTAATGTCATTGATTATAAAAATAATGATAATTATTTGTTTGTATTAAAGTTAATTATGTTAGATATCTTATTAATGAATAAGATTCCAACTAGCATTAATTCTATTAAAAATATATATAGAATAAAAGCATACATTAGGAATTCAAATAAACTGCAGTATTACTGGAATGTATTTTTAACATGAGTTCAATCAATAGAATGTGGATAGCCATTTCCTCATATATTATATTATGTTCAGTCATCAATTTATGATTTTTGTACAACACATAAAATGTTTATTACTATACAAATGTTGTGTATATACTGTACCAATATTTATAAATATTAAAATATGAAAATAAATTGAGGTTATGTTTATTTATGAATTTACTAGAATAACAGATAAAAAACAAAATAAATTATTTTGATTTTTAAGAATACAAAAATACATGACCCTATGGTCTATAACCTACATAATTCATAAAAATAAAATGATTTAAATAATTTACATTATCTTACCCCACTTACAAAATGTGAAGGAAAATAAATCATATTATATTAGGCTGTTAATTCATAGCTATGCATTAATAACATGAGATTATTCAATGAACATCTTATAATTAATAAATTCATGAGTTACTGTAAAAATTTTGTTGTTTTAAGTTATATTACCTTTTTAAAAATAAAAACATAAGTTATTATTTAATTATTTCAAACAAATTTAATTAAATTTATTATTATAAACATTTTAATTTCAGAATGTAAAACAAATATTATGTGCCACATTTTAAATATGACTATGACAGCTGTAATCCTGAGATAAATGAAGAAATTTATATTTATTGAACACCAAAGGTACATTATTATTAAATAATCTGGGTTTGGAGAATTGATTATTATCTATTTAAATAGTTTATAAGTATGCTACAAATCTACATATTTTAATACCTACATATAGAGCACAAAAATAAATAGATAAATCGAAAAATGTATTAATAATAAATACATTAGTTTAAATTAACTAACCTAAAATTTCCTTTCAAGGAATTTGTTAGTTTTTGCTTGAAGAATAATGACAAATTATGAGATTCAAATTTCAGGAGTCATTCAGAAGACTGGAAATAGACAATTTTAAATTTTAAGACCCAGATCTATACCATCAATATTTTTAATCTTCCAAAGTACCTAAGTGGTCCAAAACAAAAACGATCAGCTCCAAAATCTTGTTCTTAAATTTCAATCAAAATTAAAAGTACACTTTTTTTTACGAAAACTTCTTTTGAAAGTCCTCTATCCATGACTAAATAGCAACCTATCAGTCTAGAGAGTTGGTATACATTAAAATAATTATGTTATTATTAACATTTAAGCAGGTTCAAAATACAACTTAAATAAAAACTAAAATATTAAATAAAATATTATATAAAATAAATTATATAATCTGTGATTATAAGCCTTCAGTTATTGATATTAACAGTGAAATTTATTTAAAATAAAAAATCAAGAATGGCACCTGTAATATTTCTTTTAACTGATATAGTGTTATTTCCTATTCTTCTCTACACAGTTAAATTTGTTAATTTGTAACTATTTATTTTTGATTTCTAAATAAAAAAAAAATATATATATAATGTAAAATATATGAACAATGATTCCACATTTATTTGTGTTTGTTATTGTGTTTTGAGTTACAAAATGAGTACTAACTAAAATTATAATATACAATGAAAAATAATAAATCCCAATGTGAAAATATAATGAGAATATAATATGAAAAGTCATATGAAATTGATTAAAATAAAGATAATAATCAAATTACTATGAATACAATCTTAAAATTAGTAATTTAAACAACATATTATTACAACTAGTATTAACAGTTAACAAAATATTATAATTACCAGTTTATCAGCTTGTCGTCTTAGTGCAAAGCGTAACTGTTGGTATTTTCCTAGAAACTGGTTGTTACCCTCATAACCTATAATTTCTGCACGGTCTTTAATCACAGACTGACGTATTAGCCACCCAGTCACATTGATACAAGCCAGCACTATGGTGTTAGCTATAAGCTGTTGAGGACATCAAAAAACACAAAATTAGACACTCGCATCATAAACAATAACATATTATAAAATATTGTGATCAAACCTGTTGTATAGCGGCCATAGATTTAGTTGAATTGTAATCTCGATGAATATGTTGTGGGGAGTACCAACAGTGTGCGGTGTATATGTTTAATGTTGTGTGTCCCATTGAGGCCACAATTGAAAATATCAAAACTGCTGTTGTAACATGGTGGTCTTCTTTGATATTTATTAAAACATCTTTTTTGGGTTCATTAATGTTTTCGTCATTTGTATTATCTGATAATCCACTGTTGCTTGTCGGCAATACAAAACAATATGCAATGAATATGAAAAAAACTATTTGCCACAAGCCTTCATATAATGCTAACCGATTATCATTAAAATCTTCTGGATTATAGGAATTCGGTTGTTGTTTTGTGATTGAATTTCCCAATGAAGTTGTTTTAATATTTCCACTGAAGACTTCGGCAAGTGGAATAGACGGCAATAGTGTGGTGCTGAATAGTGCAAGTAATATATAACAACACCATTGTTGTCGCTGGAAGCACAAATGATGGCAACAACAACTGATAATGGCTGCACAAAAAGCTTGTACTATATAATACCATGTCGGTGGTAGATGGTATAACCACAATAAACTATTATTGTTAACAGCAATACCTCTTAACCATATCCATCCGCTGCCGGTAGAAGCGCCAAATATAAAGTATACTACAGCCATAGCAGCTGCATACATTGCTACTAACATGGCAGCCCATGAAATCGGTAATGTGGGTAACATAGAATGTTTCTTCTTATGATTTCGCCGACATCGTGAACGTTGAGATTTTCGTCCCCGTTGTCGTAGAGGTTGTTTTTCCCAGTCATCTGTTGACTGATATTGATTGTGAGATTCAAAAAGAAGAGCTGGTGTCTGTTGCTGTTGTCTATCATCTCCACCATACCAAAGAACATTAAGTCTGTGATCTTGATGCCGTTGTTGTTGAAGCCGCCTGCGCTGCTCTTCAATCATATTGGCACTATCCGTGGTGGGAGTTCGACAAGTTGGACTAGAATTAACAGCTGTAGTAATAGTAGGAAATACCATAGCATTTGAAGTGTGACCATTAGGTTGAAGACCATGTCGCCAAGATCTCGTTGCTGCTGTCATTAATCCATTCAACAAGCTTCGACGACCAATTGTCTCAGTTCCAAGGTGGTTCATAGTCGCACTAGTACTGTTGCTGCTGCTGGATTTTTACAGAGCAGCAACGTTCAATGAAGACAACAGTAAGAGCGTTGTTAACAATATTAGAATACCTGAATTTCAAATGTTACAATTAGAAATGTGATTCCTTAGTAATAAGAGTGGTAAAAAAAAGTTAAATAAAATTTACTTATAACTAGTAGTGATAACAGATGTAATTACTGTTATAGTGATAAATAGATGATTTGAAAAATGTTTCTATTTATATTACTTCTTAAGAACCGTTATATTTTCTGCATTAAAAATTGTTTTCAAGTAGTGCCATGCATAATACTACGTAAGGTGAACGGCCAGACTTGTTCAACTACCAGCGATAGAGGAAAATTGATATCATGATAAGTTGATGATGAATTAGTTAATCACTATCCATCTACATTGGTATTGGATTGTGAAAGCTAACCTAATGACATAAAAAAATTAAAAAAATTATAAGATTGATAATACAGCCAAATATTTTCAACTCTAGTTAAAATTATTTTTGGGAAATGATAAAATAAAAAAATAACTAAATAATAACTGTTGCCATTAATCATAAATTACCCAAAACACTGATAAAAATGTAATTATCAAAATTAATAATTTGATAAAACTTGAAACTATATTTTATTTATAAAAACATTTATTAAAATTAGTATCTGTATTTTATCATATAATTGCTTAAATTATTTTAGGGTAAAAAAACACACAAAATGTATTTACATTTTCCAAAAAAATATAGAAAATCATAATAAAATGTGTAGGAAAAATATATAATTATTATTTAAACATGAATACTTCGACAAAAAATAAGCAAAGTTGAAAAATCTTACATCATACATTTTATATTGCTTAAAAATACACAACTTAAAATATAATTATGTATTACATTATTTTAACAATTTATTCAAAAGTTATAATAGAAGTTTTAGATTTTTATTAAATAATCTATTTTTCTATTTTTCTATTAATTTCGGGAATTGAACAATGAATACACGTAGAATAAGTTTTCATTGAAAAAACTTATCATAATTATAATTTAAAAATATTTATCTTTATACATACATTTTAAATGATTACAAATAATTTTAATTGTTAATAAGGGTCCTAAAAAGTAAATAAATATTTTATATTTAACCATCCCATTTATATCAAAATTATATTTTACAACTGTTCAACTTAAAACCATACAAACCTTAACTATATGGCATATTTTTACATATGTGATCCAAAATGATGAAGTAAAAATGAAAACATTGATTTATTAACAATCTAGTAAAATTATTATTTATTGTATCCTAAAATATAATAAATTTTTTTTATTATTTTGTGTTATAATATATAACAACATTTAAGTCAAGAGTTTGGGTTTTGGGTGTTAACCAATCCATGTAACAAAGATATTTAAACAGCAAAAAATTATCTTAAGGAAATTGTATGAATATCATTATTATTACAAGATGGCCCTACCCATGACCTCCAGTTTTTAATTTGGTTATACCTTGTATATGACAAATTTAGTAAATATATTTAATTATTTTAAAGTATTTATGAGTGGGATAAAAAATAATTAATAAAGCATTCCTTGAACAGTGTTAATAAAATAGCTATATAATATAATATGATTGAAAACAATTTTTTTTTTTTTTGATGATTACTAATGTTTATATTATTGCATAAATTTATCTGCAAACTATAAAATCACATTGTATTAAATATAAACAAATCTTCCCAAAATAAATTAAAATGGTAAAAGGTTTTTGTCCTTATAATGTATAATTATTTAGTGTAGTACTTAAAAAATGTAATTTTTGAATTTTTTGTTTAAAAATATAACATAACATTTGACTTAATATTTTATAAAAAAAAGGTATTTTTTACAGTTCTGTGTAAACAGGTAAAAAATTAGTTATGATAATTTATCAAATATTTGTATAATATCACACAATTAATAAACGTTGTAGAACATTATATATAAATAACTATAAACACTAACTCTCAGTAATACATTCATATTTTGGAAATACCATAAAGCCTTGTATACATTATTCAAAATTTTAGTGATAAATGCATTTATGTATTCTACAAGTTATATACTATTAAAGGAGTTCATATATTAACAATTCATTTTAAAAAGCATATATTCAGTGTATTCCAATGATGTATATTTTTATTTATTTATTATATATTTATTTAATTATAATTAATTAATGTTTAAAATAAATATATTAAAAAAAGAAAATATTAATGTATCTAACTTAAAACTATTTTCACCAAAAATCTAATTATTACAAAATCCCTTTTTATTGCACATCTTAATTATTAGAGGAATCATTATGTCAAATTACAAGTTCATATGTTTTATTATTTTGGAAATATAGCGATTAGTGAACGAGTAATAGTGTTTGAATTTTAAACATGTAGATTATATTTTTCTAATTTGAAATGACATTATATGAGTAAAATAATAGTGTTAAAAATATTCAAAATTATAAAATAGCATTCAAACTTTGAAATATACAATAAAAAATTTATATTTAACTCCATCATTATTTGGAATGAATATAAACAAATATACAAATGTTACAAGTTACAAGGGGTTATTACAAAAAAATGAAATTTATATTCTGAAACATAACAAAATGAACCAATGATTGAATCATTTGCTAACAATAATAGCAAGTTCTATTACACAAAATATGATAATTTTTTTGTTAATATAGTCATAATACAGTATTATTACAAAAAATAAAAATGTTTTCGCATACTTTTTAAAATTTTAAGAAAACTCAGAAAAATGACAAAAATTACATTCAATGGAGTAGAAATTTTAAGTATGATAGCGTAAAAAATTACCCTTCTGGAAACAGAGAATGATAAAATTAGATTTTGAATATTCTTTAAAAAAAAAGTTTTGGTAAAAACAAACTCATCAGCTAATATACATTAATGGCAAATTAAACGATGACGATTTGTATTTAAGTAGTACACTAAACCTTGTTTTGTACAACCAAGTACCTAACATCACAATAACAACAAAAAACTATGAAAAGTGATATTGATAAATTAAACTAGATTTAGGTTTAATCAATTTAATTCAAATATAATAGATATAAAGATATAAAAGATAAATCAAATCAATTTAATCAATAAAAAAGGTAAGTAATCATTAATTCTGAACTCGACTATTTGAAGTATTCATATTGATAAGTACATAAAAAATATTATTAATGTTGGTATCAGATTAGTAACAGAAAAAAACATCACTTCATAAGTCTACGACGACAATCTTTATTTTAACTAATGACAGTAAATTTTATACGACAAGTTCAGTTTACACTAATAAATTAAAAGCCGTTAATGGGCAACTGTTATTTAATTGTTGGATAAAAACGAAACCAGTAACTTTTCAAACGAGACGATGAGGTAGACGATCGAGATACGACGAACATATTGGGCGGATGAGAAAAATTAAAATACCAAAACCAAACAAATTTCAGTAAGTACCTCGTTCGTAGCTCCGATTGGAAACTGGAAACATCCGTTCCATCGACGGTCGATTCATGAAATGTGGCGCACTACGGGAAACTCTGTACACGGAATACCGGCACCCAGAGGTGTCTACGTTCGTGTCCGGCAGTGAGCGGACATCACGTCGCCGAACTCGTTTCAATTAACGCGCGGCGGCCGTATTGCTGTGCACCTGTCTCGGGCAATGGAACGTCGCGGAACACAACGTCGCCGCGGGCAAATATCCGAATGCAGTACCCCGGTGCAATGTGCACTACACCCAATACTCCGGTGTGCGTGCACGGACGACGAATCCCCTCGCCCCGCCTGCCCGCGAAGGATGATAACCGGCGTCCAGGCCGCCCGCCTCCGCGCCGTCCCACGGGCTCCCCTTTGTTTACTTCCCGGCCCGCCACCACCTCCCGCGCCGTGGTCATGGCGGTACACGGTTGCAGCCGGGGTCAACGGAGCGCGAGAGAGACCAACGCCGCGAGATCGAGCGGTACACCGGCACCGACCAGTCGGACGTGACGACGTTGCGTGACGGCGTCCTGCACGACTATATAGAAGAAATAACTATTGAGGCAACTGGCACCGTCGCCGAGATTCGACCAACTGTCGGTTGACGACGACTTGGTCACCCCGTTATTATCACGTTTCCACCGATAACAGGTGCGTTCTCGCCGAGTTTTCCGGCGGCGGCGTCACTCCGGAAACCGTAGGGAAGGGGGGGAGTTGACTCAAATTTTTTCTTTAATTCAGGCTCAAAATGTACTAGTAAAATTATTGGTATTATTTAAATCAGACGAATCCTTAATATTTGTGGTTTTTTTTTTTTTTTTTAATCTTATGCCGGATGCACTTAGAATCGACTATTGTGTTTATCTTTTTTAACACTTGTCAGTGTCTTGAAAGTTACGTTTGTATTTTATTTGATCCTTCACTAAGTATGGACCCGACAAAAAGTCCAATTTAGTATTCACAGCCATGCGTAATTTTGTTATAAAATGATCCACATTAAAATAATTTGAAATGTGTATCTCACATATAATCAATTCCTTGAATACAGATTCTAGGGGGGCGATTGCCCCTTCGCCCTCTCTAAAATAAGCCCATGAGACGGGAAAACGTTTACGACCATTATTCTATATGATTGCGACGGTCCTACACAGAGCAGTATTTAAGTTTTGTTGCCCAGGGACAACAACATTTTGCCGCCCCTCTTCCCTGAAGTGTAAAACCGAAAATAAATGTTTCCAAGTATTCATTAAAAAGCCACTCGCAATTCATTTTCCCCATTTCAGTATAGTATTACACAATATTTGTAATAATTATCAAATCCAAAATACTTAATAACAGTTATAATTACACAGATAAAGTAATAGAAAATTTTCTTTTATAAGACTGTTGGTGGCAGGTTCTATATTTATGTGCACTCCGACACACAATGTGCACTACCAATGTACAAGTGCAGTGCCGGATTTAACCATTGTGCCGCTTTAAGCACTAAATAAATTGCCGCCTTTTAATATAAATATTTTTCTAGTCTAAAAAATGTTATTAAAGCATATAATTATAGTTGTTTCCTTTATTGCTTAAAATGTTAATGATGTTAAATAAGAATATAAAGTTGTTATAAAAGTGCACACATACATTCACATCATTGATTAAATATACATTAATATGTATATTTAATCAATATTCACATGAAAAATTTAATTATAAAAATATGATAAAAAATATAATGATAAAAAAACATGGTAATAAAAAATAGTTCATTTTTAAATTATATTCAAAGCTAAATACTTAGTACCTAGTACCCATCGGATTTAATAAAATAAAACATTTTATAATTAGTTGCATTTATTTTAGTTCTAGTGACATACATAATAAAAATGTAATGTTAAAAATTATTTGCCACCCTAAGCACTAGCTTATAGTGTCTACTGGGAAATGCGGCACTGTACAAGTGTGCACTACGGTCTACAAAACAAAAATTAAATAATAAGCCAATTACTAGGAAATATGAGTATTATTGAATTTTTTAAAATTTAATGCATATATATTATGTATGTAATATATTCCTTTTTCTAAGACAGTAGCGAGACTAAATTTTCATTTAAAGCAGTAAAATCAAGTGTGCAGTCCGAAATTGTACAAATAATAGGGCCTGGATGGTGGTACCCTTAAATGATTTAATACCTTTCGGTCTGAATGTCTCATCCCCATATAAATCAAGATTAAACCAATACCTACATTTCAACAAAATACCATATGAAATAAAATACTCTTAAACAGATATAAATGTTGTACGCTACTAAATAATATATATGATTTTATAGTGTAACATTTATTTATTTATTTAATTTTATTTATTCAAAAATAATTTTCCATTGAGAATGCAAACAAATCGATTTGGTTTTATTTAGAATCACGGTAAAAATATTGCCGCCCTCTTAAATATTTCAGGGGGGGCTATTGCTTATTAAAACTTTATTCTTTGAACTCAACGGGAGCGATATGAAATGTATGGACTACATTACCCGTCGCGTTTTTTTCGACCGTCAACGTGTATCAAATTATCGATACTGCGAAGGCAGGGGGAAACGAAGAATACGACGGAAAACTCCGTATGTAGCCTTGGAGTCATTTAGTATCTAGTATCTTAGTGTGCTTAGTATGTCAGACAGGATGAATAAATAGCCGTCACAGAAGGATTGGACGGGTCAATAAGAAAACGTAACCGATGACTGTGACAAACCGGTGAGATCAGTGCACCCCGGGTTACAGTGATAAAGAATAGCGCAAGAGGGCGATAATTTTGTTGGTGTTTAATTCGAGGCGCGGGCGGTTCACACTTTTTGTTGAGGATCACTCGGGAGACGTCGAAACGTCGATGGAACCGCTGATGTGGGTTATAGTTGTTGGGCGAACGTGCGGTTGCCGCGGTGGTGATAACGTTGGCGGCGTATCGTTATCACGTCAGAGGATTACACAAACAATGGAATCCGCGTAATACTGCCGTCGCCTGTCCGTGGTTAACAGTTATCACAGAACACGCACAAACACACACGCATTCGATAATGTCATTATCACCGTTCGGTGTTAAAAAAAAAAAAAATCATTAATAAATAAATAAATAATTAATTATTCCCAGAAGATTACGCACGCACGCACACGTACGTGGCGTCCGACCAATTGGATCGACATTCGTGTTTAATTCACCTGCACCGTACTCTCCTCATCCAGGTTTGGTGTCGGGTAAGCGCACGACAACAATAATGTATTATAGAACACTTGCGTTCCGTCGGCGATGATAACATGCAATAATCTGCAGTGGTCGCCGCCGCTTCCGTTCGATCTCTGCGTGTGTGCGTCTCGCGGATTTACGCGCGCGTTCGCAACCCTTGTGCCGTCGCTCTGCTGGTGGTAACCCACCGGTGATGTAACTAACCCACGCCTATACGGTAATCTGCTCAGTGTTTGTTGCCCTACATCGCGATCGTTGGTGGCGTTTTCTTAGGACGTGCTACGAGTAAGTACTGAACAATAAATTATTCGGGTAGGTGCATCTGATCTCTCTTTCTCATACGTTCATGTGAATATTCTCCTTGCGTAGCCACTCGAAACGTATGGACAATCGGAAACCGATTTTCAGACCCTTTAAGCGTATTTTGGTTAAAATTTTTGTTCAATATTTCTTTGTGTTGCGTGGGCGTTGATCTTGATAACATTTTATAATGGCTAATGGGAAACAGTAGATACTTCCTTGTTTTGTGACAGTTGAGTCAACACATTCATTGTCATCCATATCATTGTCATACATAATAATCATCATATCTTGTCAGTATAGATGTCCAATGCATAAGCGTGCGTAGACATTACTGGCAAGGTAGTTGTATATAACACATAAACATTTAATACTAACAACAAATTTGGATGAGTTAACTTAATTTAACTAAATAATTATATTTTTCCGATATTCTTATACATTTATTTACCATTTACGGACGTTTCGAAGTGGTTGAACATATTATGGTTATTTCTTGTTATGATAATATTGAATATTTTGGAGAGGGAGAGAAGGTTCACAGAGTAGTCAAGTGCCTACCCTGATTACCCCGTGTGCACGCTTATGGTCCAATGGTCATGTATGCTTGAATTTTAAAATAATGTCTACATTTAATCAACTTTATAAGATTTAATATAATTTTCTGTGTATGTTTTTTTACTAGCGAAAGCAAGTAACTGTGCTTTATCAGTGAGAGCAGCAAATATCATGAGAAAATCATTGTTATTTTAAGCCGCAGCTGTTGTGACGAGCTGTTCATATAAAACTGTTAAGTAGCAGTTTTCATATAATTTCATTTGTGCATTACAACATTACCAGAACTGCTAAAATGAAGGTATTGTTTTTTATTATTTGTAAACATTTAATATACATTTAAACCCCAGTGCTTCTGTAAAAAATATAAAAGAGCTATTTGGTTTCAATTGTCTATACTTTAAATTATTAAAAGTTTTTTTATATTGCTTAAATGTTTTTCAATGTATTATCAATGAAGTAGTAATATCAAAAAATAATTTTAAAACATATAAGTACTTAATAAACAGATTTATAGCATAATGCAATTTTATTTTATTAATTATTTGTCTGATGTTTGATCAATTTATGTTATATTTTATATTTTCAAATTAATTAATTTACTTATATTTTCAAACATTTTTTGGAGCAACAAATATAAATAAATTAAACATTAAATATTTAAGTATAATTAAATATAATGTTAATGTAAAATCTTATTTAAGTACATATATTATTGGTAGGTTTTGGTACTGTATGATTTTGTGGGTGAACCTGGCTCATCAGAACTGTCGGTGACTGCAGGGGAAACTCTTTTTGTTAATAGACAAGATGTAGGTGAAGGCTGGTGGGAAGGCACAAATTCTGCTGGCCAGACAGGTCTATTTCCAGCTGCTTATGTTGAGGTATGTTTTTTTTGAATATTCTTTATTAATGACTATTTAATATAATTTGCAACATACATGTTGACTGTTAAAAGGAAATAAAAGTTAGGGACAACATCATGGATGAAAGTAAACCACCACCAGCTTTGCCACCTCCACCATTACCACCTACAACTGATCCTTGGACTGTTGACGAACAACAAAATGATTACTATTCACATGTTCCTAGCAGTCAATATCAGCAGGTTAGTATATATAATTTGGTACTTGTCGGTTATCGCGACTACCGTAAAAATTATAAGGTTTACAGCCTTGATATTTAAAGTAATTTATTTAACTTTTTATGAATGTGTAAAATATCCTAAATGCTAAGAATTAAAAAATTAATTTTATTAATGATTCATGTTAAAATATCATGTATCCCTAGTAACAAATTCATTTTTGAATTTATTAAAATTATTCAAGGATAATTCTGGTTTTGTGGTCATTGACCTAGACCAATTCTTAGTGGTTTATAATTTAATATTTTAATATTATTTATTAAATATATAAATATAAATAATAATTTTATTTATATAGTGTAAACTTGTATCTCAAACATTCAATTCCTTTTTAGGTCTTAAGAAATTATGAAATATAATTATAAGAATGAAATATATTATAATATACTGTGTAGTAAAATAATATACATACATCACTTGTTACTGAAACAAAATTATCTTAGCCAGCAGCCCCTACTAAGTTTTTGGAAAGTGCCAAAAATCATTTTTTTAAATTATTGGTGATTTGTTTGTAGTGAATCAATTTGAATTAGTGAAATAATGAATTAGAAAAAATATTTTTGTTGGGCAAATTTTTTCCCCCGGGTGTAGATTTACAGTATTATTTTTCTAATTTATTATGCAATAGAAATTTATTAATTTTCGTTTTCAATTTTATTATATAATGTAATTAGATCTGTATTATTTTTAACCTATTGAAGAATATTCGTTTTTACATTTTGAATTTAACATTTGTTAAAACCCTCCCCAGGGCCAAAAAAAAAAGTTTGTTTTATTATTTATGACGTAATAATGAAACTACGAACAATATATTTGTAGTTTCATTATTACGCTTTGAACTCAAAATATACAAGTATACAAATATTATAATAATTAAATAATTATATTGATAAGTGTTTGAAGAGTTTTATTAACTATGCTACTTTATATTTTAATAGCTATTAATTTACTGTAATGTAAAAGTAAACTGTAAATTGGTAAAAAAGTTGTATAAAATAATATCTATTTATAGCAGTTATTTATTTGTGCAACCAAAAAAAAAAAAAGATTACGATTATTTTTGTTAACTCCTTCCCCCAGAGCAAGATTGAATGTACACTAAACCTACGTATTTTATAAAATATCCATGAATTATGCAAAATGCTAATATATATTATTTATATTACATTAAGATTCTTATAATTACTATATATTATTACAGGGCTTGAAATCGATTTCAAATATCGATAAAAATCGTTAAAAATCATTTAGTAAATCAAAATCAATATTCGAAAAAAAAAATTGTAAAAATCCTTAATGGTTGGTTATGATTTTCAAAATTTATATTGAAATTGAAAATAGTTAAAATTGATATTTTATATTAAAATCAAAATCATTTTAATAATTAAAACGATTTTAAATCAAATAAATTTAAAATTCAACAGCCAACAGGTTTATTTATATTGTCAATTCGTAGACATTGCCATATTTGGTAATAATATTGATTATACATAATAATAAATAACTTGTACCATTGACAGGGCCGGCTTAAGGTATAGGCCAGCTAGGCACCTGCCTAGAACGGCACTTTAGTAAGAAAAATATTTAAATGAATTCATTCGTGAAAACCACTTACCTATATAGTAAAATAATATTGTCTAAAGTTATTATATTAATTTATATTACTGCCTACACTAGGCGTTTTCAATTATTCAAAAAATATAAATAACCACATATTCGATAGTCGCGGTAGTGATGGGTTTTGAGTAAAAGTAATAGAAATCATTTTTAATTATTTTTACTTATAATTTTATCCATAAAATAAAAAAATTAAATTTTTTTTTTAGTATATATTTCACATAAAAATAGGGGGATGGGCTAAGTTAAAATAAGAGTTAAATTTTTTTTTTTAGAGACGGCAAAATTTGATTTTTCCTAGTGCACTATTTTTGCTTGGGCCGCCCTGACCATTGATTATAAATACTTTTTATAATCAATGCTAGTACCTATTTTGTTTTCTTAGAATATTTACAATAAGAAATCAGTGTTCGATGAGCGATTGTTGTTTTTATACACATGATTTAAGCCTGATTTACACTTGTCCGGCACGGCACAGTACCGGACTGAAACGTAACGGCATATTATCATTCATGTGTTAGAATTTTATAATTTGTTTTGAATTTTTTTAGTAGGTATACTTGTATTCTTGGTAATAAGAACGGCACAAAAAATAATACGATCATTGTAATAAATTGATATAAAGTAGGACTCGCGATTTTGAACGTATATTAAGTAATACGTGTACACGGAATCCGTGAACACGTTTCTAAAATGTATTAATATCCGTGTATTGAATTACACGTGTAAATAAAATCCGTGTACCCGTGTATTTGAAATACGCGTGTATTTTTTTAAAGTTTATTTTAAATAATTAATATAAATATAATATTAAATATATACAAGTTATATACATATATATATATATCTTATAAGCTGCAATTATATTACAACATTGGTTTTATATATAATTTAATCATAATATATTATTAAATATTAATCTCAAAACCTATTAGTGTATAAATATAATACTATATAATTATATGTTTTGATAATATTAAATGCATTTAAATAGTTTGTTAGTGATATCTTAGTGACTTTCATACTTTGTGTTGTCTCGAAATCATGCACCTACCTAATGGAAACCAAGATAAAATTTAAAGCATCGTTTTTAAAAATAGGTAATATTCTCATTCTTTCATTTGACGTTTACGTTAAAAAGTCGTGCGTTTATTTAATACATAATTGAATAATTAAAAATTTTAAAATGAACAACCAAAAGAGCTTGGTTTGGCAATATACTAATCGTCAAGGAAATAAAGTATACTGCAGTTTATGTTCTGATAGTGAAAATAATGAGTTCTGTTGTAATGATGGTACTAGAGGATCAGTAGGAAGACATTTAATGACAATTAGTGTTGAATTATTCTTAATCTAATTTTCTTTCTCTTTAGACTTATTATTTATTTATTATTTTAAGTTATTATTATTAAATTATTAATATTTATTTTTATTTATAAATTATGTTAAATACATCGAGTACCTATATTTTTATGTTTATTTTTTTACTTTATTTATTCGTAATTATTTTGTTTAAAATGTATTGTTACTAATTGTATTTATTCAAATCTAAGAAAATAAAAATGTTATAGACTGAAAATACTATAAGTACGTATTATTCATAAACGTGTATAACAATAAATATATTTTTCATTATACACAAATATATGATCTACTACAATCTGTAGTCTATACGTTTCATAATGAGAAAATTTGATCGATAGGCACATTTTTTTTTTTTTTTTTAATAAAATACACGGGTACACGCTACACGGGTAAACGTAGCAAATACATGAGTACACGGGTATACGGATTTTAATGTTTGTTTATCTGTGTACTATATTTATACGAACTTCAATACCGATTTCTTAAAAACACGTGTACCCGTGTAATTAAATACACGTGAATTAAAGACCCCTAATATAAAAATCCTTATTCCTTGAATAAATTCAATGAGTGGATTGAAATGTTGTATTTTTGATAAATTAACGTGAGGATTACAAATTGTACTTGAAAAGGAATATAAAAAATCTAAATATTTATTAATATTTAACTATGTAAATTTGAATAGTTTTTCATCGATGTTTGTGGGTTTTTATGTTTACACTGCATCGATACTAAACACACCGGCACGAACAGGACCGTCAAAACATTCTTTCTAATGATGGTCGGTCCGGTCGGTGCTGGTGCGGTAATGTACTCACCAATGTGAATTATTTTATATAAACTAATAATACAATGTTTTATCATGCCGTTACGTGCTGTGCTGTGCCGTGCCGGACAGGTGTGAATCAGGCTTTAATCCGTAAGTATCCTATATATAGACATTTTGTAGTGTACTATTAAACCGCATCCACACCTAGCGAATATCTGGGGATACATTTTTGTTGAAAAGTTTGTCAAAATAACAAACATTTTTATTTGTTCGTTATGTGTTGGCTCAATTCATTAATCTACACTTTTGATTATGGCGTCTCTAGAGTAAGTTGCATGTGTAGGAGCTGCATTCATAATTATTCATAAACACTATAAAAATAAAATGAAGGGTAGTAAAAGACGATGGTGGGTAAGACAACTACTACAACGCCGAAAAACTTATAGTGGTGAGCGTTTCATTTTGGATTTACACACAAGTGATTTATTTAATAATTTTACAAGAATGTCAAGTACCGATATTGAATTTTTAATAAGTGTAATTTTACCCGAAGTTGCAAAAGAAAATACAAATTTTCGCAACAGTATTTGAGTATCAGTGCGTCTAGTGTTTTTGTCGTCTGGTGAATCGTATCATTACGATTTTAAATATCAACCCCACTGCCAAGTGTATATTACAAATAATAAATAGTAAATAAACAGTTATTTGTATGAAATGATTTTGTTTCTCACAAAATGTATGCCATAATATTCGAATAATTAGCGAAAAATTTTGTTTGGTACATTGACAAACAAAATTGTTTAGGAACACGTCTATACCAAACAAATATGTCGGTATCAGTCGGTCATAGTGCTCGCATGTTCGTTTCATCACTCTGTCTTATAGCTAATTACTTCGTTTCAATGGCTTCTTGTTCAAATTGTTTAACCTCAATTAAGCAAAATCAAGGCGATTGCATATCGTGTGTAAACTGTAAAAATATTTTTCACCACAATTGTGTTTCGTTAAACCCTGATGATTTTAACTATTTAATTAGTAATAAAAAAACCTGAACATGCAAAAATTGCATAAAACAGTTTAAGAACATACCAAAAGACAATCAACCTGCCTCATCTGTAACCAATCGCATATCTACTCCCTTATCTGAACTTCAAATAATTATCAATTAACTTGATACTCTGCGTACAAAATAATCTACACTAATTGACATTGTCAAAAAACAAGGTGAGAAACTGGACACGCTTGAATCAACATTTTCTAAAATCTTCTCTGAACTTTAATTAAAAATGAAAATATTGCTTTGCGAAATGATTTTCTCAATTTAAACAAACGCGTAGAAACAATTGAATCTAGCAAAAAAAAACAGACTAATAATCAGTGTTCTTTCTCAGATTTTATTGATCAAAAAGCTAGATCTAAAAATATCATTATGTTTAATATCCGAGAATAGCCTGATAATGCTGATTACAATTTAGACATTCAAACAGTAATACGTATAATTGGAAAATTTAATATTGATGTTACACCTGTCAATGTTTTCAACTAGGAAAACCTAGCAATAAGTCTTGTCCCTTGAAATTTATGTTTAATATAGCTTCGGGCGTTTTCAAATGGTTGGGAGCATCACGCCTTATAAAATCTGATATAGTTTTCAATTAAATAAAGATTACTAGCAATAAATCCCCGAAACAACGCCAATATCTACAAGAACTTCGAACATGTTTAAACGAACGTATTTCAAGTAGAGAAAATAATTTAATAATCAAATATATCAAAGGTTAATCGTCAATTGTTTCTATTCCCGATAAAAAAAACTAATTAAGAAATCCGAGCTTACCATGTATTACCAAAATGTCCGAAGTTTAGTCACCGAAATTAACCAGCTAATTCTCTCTCTCAATACCTCTCATTCTGATATTATTGTATTTACTGAAACTTGGCTTTCTGATATAATTTCAAACTCTGAACTAGGATTTAATAATTATATAATTTATAGATGTGATAGATCTCCTCTAAATAACAATTATAGTAGAGGAGGCGGTGTATTAATTGCAGTTAATGTTAATTTAAAAAGTAAATTATTAAAAATCTCTATAAATAGCGTAGAACATATTTTTGTGTCATTACATTTAGACAATTCTTATTTTATCATTGGTTGTGGTTATATACCACCTCGTTTCCCTATCAATACATATGAAAAAAATTTTCTGCAATAACAGAAGTTTGTAACGCAAATCCCACCTCTAATATTATATTACTAGGCGATTTTAATCTCCCTTCTTTAGTTTGGTCGTGTAACAAACTACCAACCGATTTTACTTCCCCAATTGAATCTTATTTTGTGAGCATGATATCATATTTTAGCTTTAGTCAATTTTTCTCACTTATTAATTTCAATATAAATTCCCAAAACACAAGAGACCATAAACTTTTTTACCCAGTTTATTCTACTAAAAATTATATTATCAATTAATTCAATTAATAGGTATCAATTAAATCTAACCTATTAATGATAGCAGGCAATAGATTTAAATTTGATTATATTTAGTGATCCTTAGTATCATACGTTTTACATTTATAATCTAAATTGTTATATAAATATGAATATATGTGTGTGTGTGTGTGTGTGTGTATTAATTTATGTATATGTGTATATGTATAATTTGATATTTAGCTTTGTATTCACAAACACCCTGTGCTTCTAATACTTTGTAATAGGACTTACGTTCAAGAAACATATTGGTTGGATATTTTGGATGTTTGACGAATGTTTGACCAAACGTTTGTAAAATATTTGTTGGGTATGGACGCGGCTTTATGGATAACATATTAATTTATTATACTCCATTGACTATCACACTTGAGTTATACTTTTAACCAACAATATACAATCAAATAACCTAAAATAGTTTTAATTTTTTACTAGGCGAAGTTTTACTAGGCGTCGTCATATTTGTTCACTTATAATTTAAAACATTGTTCTCATATTTAGTTTAATTATATCTGAGTCTATGAATAAAAAACTTTATTTTACATTTTAATCATTTCACATAGACGTATCCCTAGTTTACTTCATTTTAGCTTCACTTTCATACTATGTTTTTTTTTCCATTTTTGCAAATTTGTTGATTGTTTCATCAATGGATACAATAATATTATGTACATGCAGCAAAGTCAAACCTGTTAGTCTATGCTGGCCTATTCTTGATCTTAACCATGTTTTCAAGTTACAAAAATATATTATTGGCCAATATTTGTTAGTTAAAGAATATGGAAACAAATATTATCAGTTATTATGATAATTATTTGGCTTATGAGCTTCTATCTCTATAAAATACACAAATATGCATGCATTTGTGTTAATAAATACCTATGAACAACAAAAAGTACCAGATATTATGTTGTAAAAAAAAAATAGTTGGGTAAAATTATTAAAGACTCTATTTAGCTCTAATAAATACAAAAATATACAGTATGCATAAATACACCAAAAAATGACTAACTAATAAATATGTGGAAAAAAAATGTTACTTTAAATTACTATTGCATAATTGCAATATTATTACCAAATATGGCAATGTCTACGAATCGATAATATAAATAGACCTGTTGGCTGTTGAATTATAAATTAATTTGATTTAAAATCGTTTTAATTAAAATTATTTTGATTTTGATATGAAATATCGATTTTAACTTTTTCAATTTCAATATAAATTTTGAAAATCATTACCAACCATTAACGATTTTGATTTACTAAAATATTTTTAACAATTTTTATCGATATCTGAAATCGATTTCAAGCCCTGGTTTTAATCTCTGCTCTAAAGTAATAATTAAAAAAATGTTGGGAGACACATAACACCAAAACGAGACACGAAAATGACGAGAAAAATGACGATATTGTAATAAAATTATTAGTACGTTCAATATTGTGTCTCAGAATTATTATTATAGTAGTAAAATAATATTAATCTTTATTGTGTTAATTCGTGAACGCACATTTATGATAAACGATAAGTAAAGTCGTTGGTAATTGGCGATACCCAATTTTGTTTGTTTTCTTCATATTGCCTACTCCACGATTGGAATTATACACAATACCTAGCAAAGCTCATTTTATATATATTGCCTAGTGATTTTTGGCATTTTGTAAAATACCGGATTATCCTTATTGCCGGTAACATATATAATTTATGTTTATTTTTATACATGTTATCATATTTGATGCCATATTTGAATTTAATTACGTACCTACACCTGAATAAAATAAATATTATTATTTATGTTTTTTCGCATCCAAACGGCTGCGTCTAAATGACCTCATGTCCATTTGTCCTAGATCGTATATCCCGTGACCTAAATTAATGTTATTGGAAATGTATAATACTACAGCATTTATCTATTTATTTAAGAATATGAACCATTTACTAATTTTATTAAAAATAATCAATATCACTTGAAGTATTTAGTCTTGTATCAGTAAGATTTTCAAAATATATTCTTGAAAGATATTATTTTTGAACAGAAAAATAAAATACTAATTCAATAGTTACTGTATCAAATACTTGATTTCCTAAATGCTCAACCCTATGAACGTTTTTTTTATCAGATATCTACATATTTGAAATTTGGTCTCATATAATTTTAAAATTGGAAAAATTTAAATGTAGAAACAGAATGCTAAAGCCATAATGGCTAATGTTGTAACTCTTTGTGTATGAGGTTTACCACCTCAAGCAGATCCAACTAGTTTACACAATAATTCATTTAGATAAATTATAATTTATAACTAGTGTTCTTTTATAGTATTTGTTCATTAGCATGGGAGTGTAAGGTTCTATAGTATTTATAGGTCACTAGATCACTGATTCCATAGTATAATATACATAAAAATAACAATTATTCTAATAAAAATAAAATATCCATAACAATCATTGCCATCTCTTGTGATATTTTTATTTATAATTACAAGGAAATATCTATAACATACTTTCTGTTTGGATAACTTATCTGAAAAGTTATATATGTAATTCTTTTCACTATTTTTAATCATAAACTACTCTTATTTATTTAAATATCAAATGTAAATAAAACATTTTAACTTTTATTTTTAATTCATTAGATAGGTATTTTGTAATAATTTAATTTCTTCATTGTGTTTGCTTGGTTGATTTATAATTTTGTATTATATTTGCAGTCACCTGATGATTTTTACGATGATGAGTGGGATGACGATTCAGAATATGGTGGTAGCAGTACTGTTACATCATCTGCAATAGTTCCTTCATCTACTCAGTATCCAGCGATTGGGTCTAAGGCCTCTATGATGAAAACTGCTGGTATTTACAAGCATGCATATTATTAAATTTAAAATGAGTTATTTAGCTTAGACTGTATTATAAGTGGCTTTTTACAATCTGTTGACATTGATGGGAAACCAATCACTTTTTTTTTTCAATTATACAATTAACAATAATAATCATAATATTCTTCTTCTTTTTCCTTGCTTTTCTCCCAACTATTTGAGGTTGGCCACCTTTGTCTTAAACTTTCACTCATCAAAATTTTCTACATTCCCTACGCACACACATTAATAATAATAATATAAATTGTAATACAAATAAATACATCTATAATTGTATCTATGGATTAATAATTTACATGAGTTTTTTGTAAATTTATATTATATTAAATTAATTTAAGTATGTTTATGTAGGCAAGCCAGCTACTACTACAAGTAACAGTTCACGGTTTTCTAAGTCAGTTGGTGGTGGAGATGCATCATATATTATGGGTGCCATTCAACCATCTATCCCAATTCCTGATACAGAACAGATTACAATTGTTGTACGTAGTGGTACTAGTAGTGGACCCATGGCAGTAGATGTGGAATGGCGCCGTGATCTTGATAATGAACCGCATGGATACCAGTGTATTGTAGCGTCTCCTAAGAAGGAATCCAAACTCAAAGGCCTTAAGTCATTTATTGCCTATCAAATCACTCCAACGGTTAGTGAATAACTTGAATAGTTTATCTAAATATTAATTTAATTATTCCATAAGTCACACCAGTATGTTTTATTATTAGAATTAGAATTTCTTTGATATTAATTACTATTTTTTATTTATATTAAGGAATTTATTACTACAAATGAGTTTTGTTAAATATTTTAATGTTTAAATATTTTCTATTTAATTTTTTATAATTTAACTTCTCTACTTGGCATATTTAAATATTGATAAATATATTAGAAATAATTAAAAACGTTTAAAATTTAGTTATAGCCAATAGAAGTTAATTTTTGTATGTACATGAAAATGATAACTAAATATTTTCTCTGTAATGTATTTTAAAGTTATTTTATCAATTTGATTTTCAATTTAATTTTTGTTTGTTTTTATATATTTGTACATATTTTAGTTCAACAATATTCAAGTTTCTCGAAGATACAAACACTTTGATTGGCTGCATGAACGACTTTTAGATAAATATTGTTGTTTAGTGCCTATTCCACCTTTACCTGACAAACAAATATCAGGTGAGTACAATCCAGGAGTAATCCTACTCTATCAATAAGTTGCAAGTAGTTTAATTCAATAGGAAATATTAATGTGCTAAATTATTACCAATAGGTCGGTATGAAGAACATTTTATTGAACGTCGTAAACAGCAGCTTCAGGCATTTGTAGATGCTGTTTGCCGACATCCAGTTTTATCACGAAGCTGGGTATGGCGCCATCACTTTATAACGTGTACAGATGAGAAACGTTGGAAAACAGGCAAGCGAAGAGCTGAATCACGTAACACAAGTGCTGAAACACTCACTGGAGCTAACATATTTTTTGTAATCCAGGCCATATCTGCTGATGGAAGTGATCAAGCGCCTCCTCCTATCAATCAGGCTTTATTGTATGTTTTTGTTTATTTAGCTTTTATTACTATAAATCATTTAGTTGTCAATAATTTTTCATTTATCAATTTTGAAGAGATCGTGAAGTGGATGGATTTCAAAAATTCATATCTGGGCTTGATGGAGCTCTTAAAAATATGGCTCAGACAGTGTCAGAACAAACAAAACGCATACAAACATGTTACAAACGGGACGCACAAAGGATAGGTCAATCATTTTATACGCTGGGTCACGCTTATAGTGGTAAGAAATTAATTTCTGTGGTGTAATAAATTATTGAGTTGTTGGGATACACCTGCCATTTAGTGAATCATTTACATTTTTTATTATAATAACAATTTCTCTCTTTACACTAAATTAGTTAAAAAGAGCCTAAAGAATATTTTAGATTTAAATTTATTTTATGATTAATGATTTTAATGATGAATTTATTAGCTTAGTATCCTATCCATTATCACGAGTGTTTCTTAAAGGAATTTTTAAATAACCATTTACGTTCTTGGTAGTCTGCTTTTTTAATTCAAATTTAATTAGAGGTTATCGTAATAAAACTCCATCATATATGTTAATAGTATCAAATAAAAATTTTAGTTTAACTTCAAAAAATAACTCAAATAATGGCTTGCTAAAACTAGACTAAGTTGCCCTCAAACAACCTGTCTTTTAGGTGTATTAAAAAAACTACAAACTGAATAATTCCAACAGCATTACAAATTAATTTTATATCACATGAATCAGATATAGCTAAGTTTAATGAATGGCTACAACAGTGTAAATATAATGCTAATGGATAAGATTGTTTTATTATTGCTTGCACTCCGTTTTGAATAGCTCTCACATGGTAGAAGCTCCATCATACCCTTGGCCTCTGAAATAATTTAAGTTAATTCCTAAATGTCCAAGACATTCAAACAAAACTTGAGCTAAACCTTTTCAACTCATATCTGTTACTGATACAAATTGAAGAAAATTCTCTCTTATTCTGTTAGTATCTTTATCAAAATATCTAACACACATAGAAAATTGTTTTATTCCAGCTACATCGGCTGTTTCATCCGCCAAATTGTAAAACATTTTGGCTGATTTATTTTAGTAATAAGATTCTTAACTACTAACCTATTGCAATTAAAATTTCATTTTGAATATTAAGACTGATATATCTTGTATTTTTCGAAAGATTTAAAAAAAAAAAAAATTGATTCATCTTAACTATTCATAGGACCATATTTTAATATAACTCTAAAATTTCTCTCCTTTTTAGAAAGAAATAAAAAACTTGTATCAGTAGAACTACCTGTACGTCTCCTTAAAGCAATACTTTGTCGATTGCAAAGTAAAATTGTTTCTATTATTGGTCTTAACATTTTTCTATTATTTTCAACTTCTAATTTTAGTTTAGAATCAAGTTTAATAGCAATATTTCTTGTTTATTTTCAAATACAGACAAAAATTCATAAACTTTTAAGTGGCATTTATATGGTAATTTACTTTTTTGATGGGCATTAAAATTTTCTGTATAACAATGCTAATTATTCAATTTTTCAAAAACAAGTTGACCGAGTTTTTGAGTGTCGACTTCTTTTGAACAAAACAACATACAATACATGCAAAAAGCACCATCACAAGCTTCTGAATAAGCCAATCATTTCCATTTACGTAGCCAATTAATTTGAAATTTAAGATTCCTTTTACCACTACCAGGAAACTTAAATGATGAATTAGGATTAAAAGTATTCTTTAAAATATTATACCGATGAAAATAGTTAACTTTAAAAAATAAAACAAATATTAAGTGTTAAGAATAGTTGTACCACAGATGTCTACATAATTAGAGGTAATTAAAATATTCTTTAAATTATACCTAGGCCATAGGTATAATAATATGTAAATATAACCATGAAAAATAATAATATACTATATATGTATACAATAATATAGTATATGCACTTTACAGAAATTATTCATTAATTTGATAATTTTAATGTCTCATTAGGTATTAGGCATATAATATGTGCAAATCAGCAAGGCGTACAGAAAGCATAACATAATTATTCTAGAGATACATTGTAAATTTTAATTATGAAGTAAATGTATTCAATAATTGATGCATTTTTATAAGACATAAGTATACCACGGCTAAGGAGGGAGGGGGGGTGTTACTATACCTGTCTTCCCAACTTTATATTATAGCCGATCATTTATATTTCATGATATTGTAGGTGCATCATCCACATCTACAGGAGACACTAGTGGCAGTGGCAATGCTATAAGCTTGACTACCAGACAATTAATGACTGCATTAAAAAAAACTGGTGATGCTTTTAATGAGATGGGCGGTCGGCTGATGGATGAGCTACCCGTTGCTGGTTGGGATTCATTTGCTGATATGTTGCATGTATACCGAGGTGTTGCATCTGCATTCCCAGACATACTGACTATGCACAAAGTGATTAGTACTACCTAACATTTTTATTTGATGGTGGTATTTTTAAATTTAAATTTTACATTATTTTATGTTTATTTTAATTGTTTATTATTATTTTACCACTGTTGAGTATTACTTATTTATATAATTATTATCTTATACATTTATTAACTAAAATATTTTAAATTATATATGCTTGTTATAGAACGCATTGCAAAAAAGGAAAGATTGTGAGCGACAGTATTCGGAAGGCATTCCTATTGGTGGTGGTAGTAGTGAGGGAACTGGAGGATCCAGTAGCGGTGCATCATCAGTTGGATCTAGTAGTAGTGCGACCATGGCAACTTCTGATCCAGAGCAACAGCGACGATTATTAAGAGAAGTGCAACGTCGTACTGACCTAGTATCATATTCTCTGTTAGCTGAAATAAATCAATTTCATCGGGACCACGTATTAGGTCAAATGGCTGGTCATGTACGTCAATTATTAAAATATCAAATAGAATTTTATCGCAAGGTGAGTGCAGAATCTGAGTAATAGAATAGTTATTATAGTTATATTCTTTATTTTTCATCAACCCTATATCTAATAATTAAAGATCGGATATTATTGATTAAATATCTTAAAATTGAACTAAAAAGATACCCAAATTACAATGAACATTTATCAAAATTATAATATAAATATGTTAAAATTGCAATGAAAAATATATAAAAATTACATAGTAAAATTATATCAAATATATAATCATTAATTACTTACTTTATTAATATTATGGACATTAATATAATATTTAAAAAATATATAATTATTTATATTCTTGAAAATTGTATCGTCTGTTACTAAAAATATGTTTGTAATATAAAAATTATATTATAGTGAAAAGTATGGTCAATATCAATAACACTTGTTATTGGCGCATATTTAAAATAATTTAAAAAATTTGGTGTTATATCTAAATTAACATTTTGATTTCTTGTCATAACCTCAGGGTAAATTTTAATAGTTTTATATCCTTTATTTTTTTCTAAGACATATTTTAATTTATCTTAACTATTTTCCCATTAGGACCAGGAATATTTAACAAAATATTTTCATTTTTACTATATATGTTTAAACTATTAAATAATTGGCTATTTGATTCTTCTTAGCTTGTAAGTTTTGTGTATAACTCGGATAAATATAATTTAAAAATTGCTTTACTAAATTTAACTACATGTAAAAATGTACGTCATAGTTTTATTTTTATTTTAAATTACTTTGAAAATAATAATTTTTATATTTTGTCACATGAAGTATATAAAAATTGCAAAATTGTTGAAAGTTGCAAAAAATTGCATTATTAAATTAAATAGGAGGATGGTAATTAATTTGATTCGTATACATATTTGATCAGATTTGATTTACCTGGTATCAATAAAAAGTTGTGATATCTATTAAATCAGAATATTATTGATAATTTACTAGCTAACTACTACTTAACTCTTAAATAAAAGCAATACTGATATTAAATAATTAAATTTCTAAATAAATAAATAGGTTATGTATAGAAATAAGAAATAAAATTAATTAATTAACCTTTTACTAATTTTTAATTTTAATTAATTTTTTTATTATTTTATTATTTATTAATTTTATTTAAATTTTTTCAATAACAATAGTTTTTTTTTTTTTTTGCAGATTGCTGACAATTTAGAAAATGTCTTACTAATGTATCCAGATGATGAGACTTTTGGAGCTGGTGTTGACCATCATTATGAACAACATTATAACCAAGGAGATAACTCCTCTTATCATCAATATTATACAAATCAGTAGTAATAGTAGTAATAATAATAGTAATAAAAGTATTAAATAGACTAAACATGGCAAATTGTATTACACCTCTATTATTTTACATTTATTAAATATATTAGTAAATATGTTATCAGAATCTATATAATGTTAAATCTTATACATTTTTGATAAATTAATATCGGACCAAATATTAGCTAAAACGACTGTTATTAATCCTATCATGTATATTAATTATAATTTTTGAGAATGGTAGTCTAAAATACCTACTTTAACTACTATTATTATTAAATACTATTATTAAAAGAAACATTCGAATTTAACTTATATTATTTTGTTGATTGTTTATTATAACATAAGTTTATTGTTATTTTCCTGGGGAATATTTTCATCAATGTATTATTGTATTTATTTTTGTGTATAACTATTAATATGCTCTGTTTTATTGTTTTATTCTAATTTTTTTTTTTTTTTTTTTATTAAAAAAGATAATTGTACAATCTTGAATATGTTTTTACATTAAGCAATTTTGATAATATATGTACATGACATGTGTGAAGGTGGTGTCCTGTGTCACTACTTCAGTGAAAAGTTTAATTAATATCAGGACTAATAATTATAAATACTGTATGTGAGGACAAAGGTTTACAAACATTTGAGACCAAAAGTTACTTTCAATTTTATATAAGTTCTAAAGAACCTTAAGTTTTATGAACAGGGCTTGGAAGTTTTAGCAAATGCATATTTTTCTTGGTTCATCCTAGTACATCCAAAGTTAGATACAACTATGTTTCACATTACTCGGATATCATATACAAAATAAAATTTTAATATTTTTTGCATATTTACGGGTTTTATTGCTATTTTGCAAATTTCGGGTTTATTAGTGCTATTTTTGGGTATATTTTCACATAATACAGAAAATAATCATATTTTGTTGATTATAATAATCTAACTAGTTATAGTTTTAAAATTATTTGAATTATTGAAAATAAATACTCCTCATTCATTATTATTTTAAGTTTTCATTGACAATTTGATGCATTAATAGTTAGAAACTAAATAAAATAATATAATTATAAGTACACTTTTACAAATATATTTAAGTAATTTAACATTTTTGTTAAATTTATAATTCAACCAGTCCAGACCGTCTATGAACTCAAAAAACTGTAAAATGACATTTAATTTTTTTTTCTAATAAATTTATAATTTTTTCAATTTAAATGCAATTGTTTTGATTTTTCGTGCTATTTATAGCGCATATTTTAGTTTTTGAGTGCATATTTAAGAGTTAAAAAATAACATTTTTAGTGCTATAACTTCTGAGCCCTGATTATGAGCAATGCTTAGTGAAATGCTTTATACTTTGTAAAAAACTTAAATGGAAACATATTACAATGACCAGCTAATTGAATAACCTTAAGTATAATCGATAATTACTTGATTTATCATTATTTTTGTTATGATGTTGAAGTACTATATGTATTTAATATAATTAACCACTTAAATTTGTAACACATGGTGAGGTTTATTATAAATCATAAAAATATAATTTATATATTTAGCCAAAACTATTACCATAATATGGTGTTAAATATTTATTAAAATTCAATCAAAATGAATTATTTAAATATTTTTAATTATTTTTATATTTGTTTATAATACATTATACAAATACTATAAAAAAATAAATTAAACAAAAAATTTAAAAAAAAAAAGATACTGAACGATAATAATTTATAAATAGGAATATTAAAATTTAATTAAAATTGAAAAATGGTAGATGTTTAATACTTGTAAATTAATATATATATATAAACAAATGGTTTATATATAGAATTACATTTTTATTTAATATATTAATATTTATTGCTTTTAAATTATCATAAAAACTATTCATACTTGGAAAATAGCTAATTTACTAGACTAATATATCTATTCTTCATTTATTCAGTGTTAACGTAAATTAATATATATATATTTAATGCTCATTAATATTAATGGTTTTTTATAAGTTCTAGTATTTTTGATTGAGGACTGTTTTTTTTAAATCTGGTCTACTATAAAAACGACATCTCTAATAACCTGAAAATTTTATTTTATTCTATAACATTTATAATTTTTTTAAAAAATTTTAAAGTACCATTAATTTTGATATACATATAATTATAAATTATAATAATTAAAATAATTTATATTTTGTGGTTTTTTTATGTATTTAATTATGCTATTATTTGAATTGTCATAGTTTTCTATCCAATTTAATGTATTTTATAATCATAATATACAGTTCTAAAACTTATTTTTACATTCAATTTCATAAATTAAACATGTGCCATTTTAAAAGATTTTTATTTCTATATTAAAATAATTATTTTAAACAGAATGTTTTAAAATTGATTATATTTATAATATTAAATTATTATTATACCATCTTATTAAAATAATTGAAAATGTGCAGTCATTTAATATTTTTTTTTAAATTATTATCTCCATAATGAATCTCGTAGTATTTTGAAATTTTCAAGTTATTTTTCATGAAACATATAATTTAAAATCATAACTAAATTTTACTCTGAAGTAGAAAATTCTTTTTTTAATTTTTTTGTCTTATTATGTATTGTCAATTTGAATTTTTTTATTTCTAAATATATTTTATGTACTTAGCGATTGCTTCATAATTCTTGTTTGTAAAATAATTATTCTAATTATAAATAAAAAATTAAATACAGTAGACTAGGTGTATGAAATTTAAATTAATTGATGTACAACATTATATTTTTTTAATATTTATATAGTTATTAAGAATATTTTTAGAAAGTATTTCTACAACCTGCTAGCATGTTTATTATTTAGCTTTACATTTTTTACTGAAATTATTAGTTATTTCCAATTATTTATTTAATTAATTTAACAGCCATGCATAATAATTATCAACATATTGTTTGGGGCATATATTAATGGTGTACAGTGTAACAATATATTTTTATGAAAATAATTATTTCATATAGAAGATAATTAGTATTATAGAATGTTTAATGTTAAATCAACATTTAACTAATAGTTATACTTTTATATTACATTTATTTAATCATGATATTAATTTATAAGTACAATAAAACTATATTAAAGTTAAGCTAAGCTGTCTATTTTTATTTATCACATTTCATTATACATTCAAATTGTTGTATATAATTTATAACTTGAATTTATTAATTATTAAAATATTAAAGTTTTTGCTGTTTAATATATTTATTTGGTCTCTGTATAAATTTACTTATCATATGGTATCAGTAAAATGTGTAATGAAAAAATATACTCATAATTCTTATCAGTTTCTTCATGTTAAAGTTAAAATATAACTTAAATATGATTTAAATATTCTTATATTAAAGTAGACATTTCATAAAATACATGAAAGAATAAAAAAAAGTCATTATTTTTAGTTTATTTAGATATATATACTCATAAGTACATTTAGTTACTGCATTGTTTTTAAATTTCTACTATTTATTCACACTGTGGAATTAAAAGCAATTTAAATAAACGCTATGTATTATTTTATGTTATAACAAAACTACTTGTATTCAGTGACATTATAAAGCTGTTCCGGAATATTGTTATTTATTTAAATTTTTCTTAACAGTTTTATATTGTATTTTATCCAAGATTTTTATTCATAATGATTCATAACACTTTTAAATTACCTTTTTATTTACAAATAAGTATCAAGTAATTTAGGTATTTGAATTTTTAAGCCTAAATGTATTTTCATACACAATGAGTACTTCCTATGTGATAATAATAAATATTTAAATTTATGTACGACTTAAGTTAAAATTATACTTAGATTTTATAAATTTATATTATATTTATATCTAATAAATAAATATAACAAGGTTTTGAAAATTGTGAATAATAACTAATAACTTTGTTATATGTATGAAATTACCGCTTTTAACAATTATTGCATTATTTTTACCAATTTCTAATGTCCAATAGATATCCAATTTCTACATAGTAATTTTTTTATGGTATGCAAAAGACTTATAAATATTAGTTTTCTTATATTGTTATCAGTATATATTTATTTTATTCAGCAAATTTAACAAAAAGTATACTTCTAATTCTATGAAAAATGTTCTATTGATGAATAATACGAATATTTTATTATAAGAGAATGCTGTAATTATACTGTGCAATAATGCAGTGCTTTTATACATTTCAAAGTACCAGTTACCATTCATATAATAATGATCATTGATTAGTTAGTTTTCATAGGTCAATAATTTTAACTGAAACTACATTTACACAAATTATTAAGTTTGAAGTTTGCTTAGAACCAGCAGAATTGCATTTTTGGGTAAAACGTTGAATTGTCATTTTGTTACTAAAACCTTTAAAAACCATAGACTATTTCGAAAGATTATTATATAGTACACCTCTATGGTAGGACATATCTATAACTGGAATCTGATTGTATATTACGACTATGTAATCGAACCGAACCGAAAACCGTTGTTAAAACGGTTTTAATTAGTGGTTTAAAAGTACTGGCTTTGATAATAGCAGATATTTAATTCGGATGGCACTCGTCGCGCCCGCGAACAATAAATGTTCAACGATTTCGCGCGGTAAAAACGAAGCAGATCTATCGATTTATCACTGCACAACCGAAATCTATTAATTTCCAATAGTAGTACACAATAAGAAACTCCTTGGAGTCTCCCCCCCCCTGAACTCTGACCAGTTAGAGTTGGTCGTTACCGGGGCGAAGGAACCGGGTTGAGGACACAACAATTATATTATCGATCCAAACATAACTAACGCGGGGTTTAAAGCAAGCCGCGTAGAACGCCGTCGGTCCCTTGTTGGAAAAATCGACCCTTTTCGGAGCGCACGAACGCGTTGTAGCACAACTGTTGGGCGCGTAAACAATTCGTTGGTGGGCAAATCGAATGTATCGTCGCCGGAGGCCCTTCGTAGCGAACTCGACCTCACGGCGCACGGTAACGTTCGGTGCTCCCCCGGTTTTTACCATAGACATAATATATATAATATTATGTCTATGGTTTTTACTGACGCCGTAAACGGAAGACGAGTTTTTACACCACGCCAATATCTGTGAGCCATTGTCGTACACGTGTTTGAAACCACCTCCCTCCCACTACCGTTCGCCACCGCTGCACAACCCTGTGTCCGCCCGGCGATCTGCGCGCGCCGTACGCTCGCA